GGAATTTGGAAATTTGGAATTTTGGAATTTTGGAATTTTGGAATTTGGGGAATTGGGAATTTGGGAATTTGGGAATTGGGGAATTGGGGAATTTGGGGAATTTGGGAATTGGGGAATTTGGAAATTGGGAATTTGGGAATTTGGGAATTTGGGAATTTGGGAATTTGGGAATTTGGGAATTTGGGAATTTGGGAATTTGGGAATTTGGGAATTTGGGAATTTGGGAATTTGGGAATTTGGGAATTTGGGAATTTGGGAATTTGGGAATTTGGGAATTTGGGAATTTGGGAATTTGGGAATTTGGGAATTTGGGAATTTGGGAATTTGGGAATTTGGGAATTTGGGAATTTGGGAATTTGGGAATTTGGGAATTTGGGAATTTGGGAATTTGGGAATTTGGGAATTTGGGAATTTGGGAATTTGGGAATTTGGGAATTTGGGAATTTGGGAATTTGGGAATTTGGGAATTTGGGAATTTGGGAATTTGGGAATTTGGGAATTTGGGAATTTGGGAATTTGGGAATTTGGGAATTTGGGAATTTGGGAATTTGGGAATTTGGGAATTTGGGAATTTGGGAATTTGGGAATTTGGGAATTTGGGAATTTGGGAATTTGGGAATTTGGGAATTTGGGAATTTGGGAATTTGGGAATTTGGGAATTTGGGAATTTGGGAATTTGGGAATTTGGGAATTTGGGAATTTGGGAATTTGGGAATTTGGGAATTTGGGAATTTGGGAATTTGGGAATTTGGGAATTTGGGAATTTGGGAATTTGGGAATTTGGGAATTGGGGAATTTGGGAATTTGGAAATTGGGGAATTTGGGGATTTGCGAATTTTGGAATTTGGAAATTTAGAAGTTTGAGACAATACAGTCTTGGATTCTTAAATTTTTGGATTTTTGGAATTTAGAAACTTTGGAGTTTTAGAATTTTAGCACTTTGGAGTTCTGGTATATTACGATTTGAAATTTTAGAAGTTTGTAACTTCAGAAGTTCCAAAAGTTCCTCAAAAATATAAAAAATATACTCTAAACGTAAGAACAATAAAGTTCTATTATATTATACCAAAAGCATTGACCAGAGACGTAAATTTTTCCTATAAATTTACCCTATCAAAGTTAAAAATCGATTCAGTTTATTTTCACATCTATTATTCCTTTGTCCGGATGTACTGACTGACTCTTTTAAGATCATAAATTATTCAGTAATCGAACGTGCAAATTCACCTTCTGATGAATGAGTGACTAGCCACTTTCGGCTAAAGATCGATTTTCACTTACATATGCATTCACTTCCGATCAAATCTTGTTAAATAATTATTTGCCTGTTTTTCGTTCTCTACTAATTATACAGTCCTTCCACTGCTTTTGAATCTTTAGATTTTTAGATTTTTTAACTAAAAAATATTTTACTTTTTGTCATCTGATAAAACTACAATTTTTATATGTAAATCATCTCATTTTTCTGAGAATGAGAAAAATTGTTTTTAAACCTAATACAACAAATTTATTGAATTAAAATTATTCCCAACAAAATTGATTAAATAACAAAGATTAATTGATTTGAAAAAATTAAAACTGATAAAAAAGATCAGAACATCATAAAAAATATCAGAACTGAGGACTTAAATTATAATTATTCGCCATGATCTCATAATTCATACGATAAGACGGTTAACAGACAATTTCTCACGAAATTACGAGGGAGGCCATCTTCAAGACATTTTACAGCGGCGAACCAATAAACCTTGTTTCGGAGAAATATCAGCTCTATGGTGTCCGTTATCGAAACAACAAATTATTCCGGCGAGAAATGTCCTATAATGCGGATAATGTCTTTGGCATGCATTCAACGTGCATTCTGTACGAGCATTTCGAAACAACAAATATCTTTATACTAGTTATCATGGAATAACTGAAATCGTAGAAGGCAGATATGTGCTTATCGTGGTATTTATAATTTTTAATTCATAAAAATGAAAAAAAAAAACAGAAAAACCATTGCATGTCGTAGTAAGAAGATATAGCATGTTATAACATAAAAAATATTACATATGTGAAGTACTGAAGGTACAATAAATATTTCCAAATTTTTGTCATTTATAAATTAAGAATTGTAAGTAGTGTCATTTTTTGAGGTACACTTAATTTGAAATGAGAAAGAAATGAATGAATGGTGAAACTTAAGTTCATTTGCAGATTCTGTATTTGGACAAAAATTAGAGATTTCAAGAGTTAACAAATTTTGTGACTTAAAGAAAATTTGATGAGAATGAAAATATCGAGAATCTGTTATTTGACAATTTTCAAAGTTTTAATGATGAATGAGTAGTTAATAACCTTGTATCAATAACCTTGTCATCAGTAATTATTAACAACCTTGTAATTAATAACAACCTACTACAAAACTTTGCCAAACAAAAATAAAAATTTGCAATAAATTCCCAAATAAATTACATTAAAATTACACTACATCGAACATATTTATTAAAAACGAACCACCACTGAATAACAAGAAATACCTTTTCGTATTATTGCACAATCATCACAGTGAGTCAGAAATTACAGCGAAAAGAATTTAGGACGAATGCTTATGTAACAAATGAAAATATAATCTGTTAATATTGATAGCAATTTGGTGTAATACGAAAAGCAGAAATTGCGAGCGCGCAATAACGAAATGGCGAAGAGTGTTCGAGGAGCGTCAGGACGCTTGGCGCCACATTGCCGCGACCCAAATAATAATAATACCGTCTAGAAAAGAGGGTCGGAGACGCTCTGTTGATGGAGGACGAGGAAGAACGACCGTACACTACCTACATTTACGAATCTTGGACATAACCAGTCGTCTGTTACATTTATCATCAGTCACTCAATGCGAATATTTTACGAGCTTCTCGTTTTGATAACCTTCTTGCGAGGATGTACAATATTTTTAACGTCGAATTTTTTGCGGGGCGTCAAAACAATTCGTACAACTTTTGACACTTTGCGACGAAACGGAACGGAGGGTTTCGTAAAATGTTGCACCGGAGTTTTTATTTTGGAAGTACTTATTAATGTGACGATTTAATAATATGAAACATGCAGGTATTATATGGATAGAACACATAAGTCAAAATTGTTTTACATTAAGTTTTAATTTTGGGAATTCAAATATGTAAACTTGCAAATTTTCAAACTTTCAAATTTCTATATTTCTAAGGTTTTAAATATTTCAATTTTTAAACCTCGAAGTTTCAAATCTCTGGATCCCCAAATCACTCAATTTTGAATTTGTCAGGTTCCTAATTTTTCAAACTTCAAAATCATTATTTTCCACATTTCTAAAGTTTTAAATTTTTAAATTTACCGCCTTCTTCGATATAAACCCACTGACCGACATTCGTATTTATGAAATAATATTATAAATCAAAAGCAGTATATAAATGTATTTACACTATATAAATGTATTTACAATATTTATGAATTTACATAAATGTTTAGAGACGATCATTTGTACTCATTTCTTCCTTACCGACATTCTTGGATTTAGAAGATCAACGCCATCTAGCGTTTGGCGTTTTAAACCTGCTCCTGGTAGCAGGATCGCAGGAAAGCGAGGAGGTATTCGCTAAAGTAAGAGGTTTCCCGCGCATCAGCGCGCATGCGCGCTACAGCCAGACTGGTGCCATGATTCCAACATGGCGTCGTACAGAGTAAATTCTATCACTATCAAATAATTATTAATTACTCGTTTTCTTAGAGGAACTTATGCACTTTTATGATTGAAAAATCACCAGTGACTCTTCATCTACCTTCTTGTACAACATTTATTAAGATCTGAGTTGAAAGTAGTTATTAATAATTTTCTATTATTACTTTAAATATGTGTAACAACTTTTCCTAACATGAAATCTTAATAAACTTTGTATAGGAAGATTGCTATATGATCGAGTTTCATTCTTTGATTATAAAAGTGTAGAAATTATTCGCAGATAGTTAGTGGTACAGTATTATTCATAGTTAGTTGATTTGTAGGTGGAGACGCCATTTAATAGTGCAGCGCATGCGCCGCCTTCTGCAGTATGGCTGCCGGGCGCGTGGGCGGACTTTCTACTGCGCATGCGCGTAAATGCGCGGGAGACCTCTTGTTTTAGCGAATACCTCTTCGCTTTCCTGCGATCCTGCTACCAGGAGCAGCTGAAAAACGCCGTACGCTAGATGGCGCTAATCAAATTTTAATTTTACCTGTCAATTTAACTACTTAATCTAGTAATTTCATTCTCTCAACGCGAAGTCATTTCCGTACTGATAAATTAATTAACGCTAGTAAGCTCACAATTAGTTTTAACTTTCAATGCACACTGACAAAATGGAGCTCATAATTCTAAAATCTGTTTTTAATATTAACTACTGTAAAGGTTTGTCAATAATATTTTATATTTGTATACAGAAATGTATTATATTTATTATATTATGTTTCGGACAAATTCAGACAAATTTGAACGCTTTTCAGCTTAATCAACTTAATTATATATGCATGTTTAGCAATGAATTGAATTTGGAACTTGTCCAAATGTTTAACGTCGCGAATAATTGAGACTCCACCGCATATTTATTAAATAGCCTTATTTTAAGTATGCATATGAACGATTACGATCGTGAGTTCGAATGCGAGAAATGTGCTCTGTTTCAAAAGAATGTCGTCCAGTGGAGGATATTATAGGTTGGAGAGAAACTTTTCTCTTGATAAATCAGCCGGCTACACCCACGGAATGGGTTGTTCCGTGGAAAGTTCCAGCAAGTGAACATAATAATAAGGATAACGTGGGTGGTCAGTCAGGATGTCGTTTGTTCTCAACAATTTACCATCGAATCAACGAGAATAACTTTGCGTTCGATATTCAATTTCATTGAAACTAATGAAGAACAATGCGATTCCTGATAGAATGGTAACATTACCATTTAAAACTTCTTTTTAGATTAATTCATTGAAGGTAAAATAAAATAAACCTTTATATTAACTTTAAATAAACTATATTATTTGCAATTGCATGTCTATTTACAAATTATTTTAATTTAAACTGAAGCGTGTGTTTCATATCTGATTTAATTTATAAGTTACATACACAGCTATTTTATTCTATATATTAGTTACAAGTTATTGAAATAGTTGTTAAAATATAATTAAATTAACTCGTTCTTCAAATTTAGAGTGTCATCAATACATTTACATTTAAGTGCTAGTTATTTTACTTCCTCTCATTTATTATAAAAGCTATGGTGATGCTTAAAATATAACCTCTTTAGCTTCCACATGTTTTTTATTACAGAAATTAATTTCGTTCGATACTATCTGCACGTGTCAACGTACCGACAAACGATCACGATATTTCATATGATACATTCTGTTCCTGTTATATTTATCGAGTGACATTTGTTATCAACCGAATCCTTGTATTTCACATGCAACGTATCAAATCTGACGTATTCTCTGTATTTCAGGTCAAGTGGGATTTAAAACGAAAAGAATGATCATTGGACAGAAAACGTAAAGGAAAATAGTAGCCTCTGATGAATATCTAGTTGACCGATTGCATCCTGCTCCTTTGCATTCGCAGACCAGTTGATAACTGTCTCGGGTATAACGCCCTCTGTAACATTCGTTATCAGCATTTCGCCATTTCGCACATTCGCGGACAGTTAAATCTTGTCGGGAATCCATAAAATAATCTGCAAATCAAAAGATGTTATTCGTACTGTAAAGAAATAAATAACAAGTGTTATGAAGAAAGAGGAAGATAATTTAACACTTCCGTTATTTCTTGTGTTCTATTAAGTTATGTGCATTATGTTTATTTTCAGTTAAACTGAGGTTATAAATGTGAATGACAGTTGGTGGCAGCTAATGACAGTTTTGAGGTTAGAACTAGAAATAAATATTGGAACTTACATATGTATACAGCTTTACGACAAAACGGTTTTGACTCTGGACACATCTGCAAGTATTTTATATCTACCTTGTCGACAGTGCAATTTGTGTCCTTTTTACTGTCACACTGGTAACAATTAGTAGCTTTCGATTCTTCTTGTATAATAAATCACATGAAATAATAAATAATATCAAGTTGAAAAATTAATAATTAAGTATTTATGTATAATCTAATTTATCTTTAATTGATATCAACAGATGCTGCATTATCGACAGATAGTAACATCTAACGCATAAAATCTAATGGAACTTACCTTTTTGAAATATGAACAAAAATATTAAAATGCGTAGTGTATTTAGCTTCATTTGCATTATTAATTTTCCTTACTTTTACGTTTAGTTTTTTTATGTGGAATTAGAAAACGTGTATGTGGTATTAACATCTACTAATTATGTGAAATAATTTTTTCACTGAAAATAAATCATAACTACAGGCATCTTGATGTCATTCTTTCAATCTATAAAATATAATAATTTATAGATTGCAATCATAACTAATAAAATTGTAAATGATATCAATATTTGGTAGGTTAGAATATCGTACCTGGATAAAAGAATCCCTCGTCAAAATAAAAAATTTATTTTTTCAATTTAATAGAATATTTCACTTCATTCGTGTGTTAATACAATTGCTAATTTGTTTTACAAAAGTTTAATAAAAATAATGAGTACACTTTAACAATTTGTTACCTCCTTTTTATGATTTTATAAAATACTGTTTTCAACATGAACATAACTAATAAAATCGGTACGTCACAGGTTTAGTAACTTACGAAATAATTCCCTAAATTGTTCGTAATCAAATTCTAAAATTTTGTTTGATAATTTTGTTATTACTGAACTTGAAATTTAAATGTAAGATTAGAAATAGAAATCAAAATTGTATAAAATTAAAAAATTTTAGAATATTAAATTTTCCTTAAATTAATTGAGGAAAAGTTATTTTAAAATTATTGTTTATCTGTCCAGTTTTCATTAAAAGAACTGGAACACTTCCTATAATACGATATTATTATATAATGAAATATTATACTTACATCAAGATTTACGCACATGGTATACTTATACAGGGTGCTTCAAAAAAAATATGCACTACAACTACAACGTTTACATTACCAAAATAAATTTTCAAGCAATTAAAGGTTGGATATTCGACACAAAATATGCAAAGACAGAGTCTGTGAAATGATGACAAATTTTTTTATTATATTTTAAGTAAAAAAAGATCTACCAGAGCTACGCAGCATACAACAGTTTTGAAACATCCTGTACATGTGTCACACAAATGTGCACTTCTCTCATACGTTTTCTCTGTTGAATATCGCTGCCATAGCAATTACATAATTAAAAAACTGAAGGTTTGCTCATTTGTTCAGGTTATTATCATCTTACCAGATAACTGTAGTTAACCATTCAAGGTTAATTTCACATCATGTGTTTTACGAATTTAGTATGTTGAGAATTGTAATAACATTGTTATGGATCACTCACTTCATAAAATTATAAATAATACATAAAGTTATTTTACAAAAAATTGAACTAAAATTATATTATAAAAAACTAAAATAAAATTGCATTGAAATTAGAAATTCTAACAATTAAATTTCTACTAGTAAGATAATTTATAAACTAGTAAGATAATTTAAAAATCGATCAGTTCTGTCTTTCGTACTAGAAAAGAACAAAATATTTACCACGTAGAATATAATCATCAAAGATGTGTCACGGTCTCGACATGTTGCTAAACATGTTAAACACTAACGCTTAATTAAAATTATACTCTTAAACAAAAATAGACGTGCATCATCGTTCTGATAAAATTTAAATTTTCGTCTACTACAAATACTTTAGTTACACGATTAATTTGAAAATAGTTTCATAATATCGATTTAATCACTTTTCATCATATTTATTAAATTAAATCACGATAAAGTATACTGCACGTGCAGCTATGTTAAATTAGCTTTAATTAAGTTAGGTTAGGTTATTTTAAGTTAGGCTGAACGAAATTAGGTTAGGTTAGATTACATTTCATGAAATCACGCTATACTGTCAACCGTTTTAAAACGCACTATCTAAAATGAAATCAAAACATTAAACTTTATCTGTAACAAAAATCACGATAGCATCAATGCAGCAAAACCTGACAATACATTCATGGTTACACCAATGTAGAACTTGTCACGGACACAAAGAAATTGAAGACAGTTGTTGCAATCACTCTCGTTGTCGAACTTTAAAAAAAAAACTGGGTCATTTGATATGATAGGCCTAACAGGTCACATGATATGATAGCCCTAATAGCAACCTGGAAGGATATCTTCCACATTCCTTTCCGTATTGTTCGCGTGCAACTTATTACACTAAGCTTCCATGACATTTCATGACGTTCAGTGTGTCACAGGAAAAGGGATATTATCCACTTAGAGTGTTCCAAACCACCACTTTACGCTCTATTTGAGCATAAAGCTCTTCGTACCGCCCACGGCCTTCCCTATTTAACTTGAAGCCCTGCTTTATCCGTCAAAACAATCCTATCGTTTGTTCTTGATAATTAAACGTTTCTTTTACAAATAACCTTCAATTGGGTTTATGCTACGAAGTTTCGCTTGTGAAGTTACGTGCTTGCTGCGTAAACTTCACTGGTGGTATTCTAACCTATAAAGTATAGGGTGTATGGTGTAACTAGGTTAAACTATTATTTTATGTATTATTCAATTATTCATACTTTATACTTTACTATCTTGGCTTCTATTCTTTTTTCAAATTTTTATTTTACTCTACTTTGTCATCTACTTTATTATTCTGTTTCTTAATTCACTTTACTATTTTATTATTTTACTATTTTTGTTTTTACCTCTGCAATTATTTTTTTTACTTTGTTGTTGTACTACTTCATTATTTCACTGTGCTTGCTATATTATATTATTTAATTAATATAATATTATCACTGATATATCACATACATTTGTATTGTTTAATAATGTTATATAATACTAATATAATGTTATAGTATCGTATAACAGTACTGTATAGTATTATAGTATTGTATAATATTATTGTATAGTACCATAGTAATGGTATTAGTTTACTATTAGTAAGTAGTATATTATATTATTATAATACTAACTTTTATAATACTTTTCTAGTACAATAATAATTATTATTATATTCTCTATCATAATTCTATTTAATATTATATTCTCCATTGTAATATTATTCAATCATTCACTATTCACTGTTTCCCTATTTCATAATTTCATTATTCTGTGTAAGTAAAATGCTCTCATATTTGTGATACGTGTGACTTCTAAATAAATATGACATGTATGTACGTAATATTACATATATCATACACTATTTACTTATATCAGTATACGTTACTTAATACATGTCACATAAGTGACTTCTCTATTTACTAAAAAGATAAAAGATAAGTGATCTACCAGGAAATTGAACTTAAATGTACAAGAGCAAACCCAATTTTTTCATCACATACAATATTTATAAATTTTTATACTTATAGGCTATAAATAAAATTCAGTAAACAGACAAGTAAACAGAATAAGGAAAAACTCATTCCAACCAGATTTAAACCATGCAATCATCTGCTTATAAATATAGAATCTCCGAGGCAAGTAGCTATAAATATTCTTAAAAAATATGTCAGTAAGAAATTTGAAGATGTCAGTTTGAACAAAGATGTGAATATGAAAAAGTACGCTAATGACTTATGAAAATACGACTAAATATAAAAGTGACTAGTCAGATTTGCATCGTTATCACTAACGTCAAAAAATCAATTGCATCCCTTCCCTCGGTCGTTCAAAATTATTGATTTCTCTCGAATCGAAGAGCGGTTATCATAATCGCGTATCCGACTTTCCCTCGGTCGTGGTTAGATCGTTTGGGCCTTGGATTATTGGTCGGTGGAAGACGAGTTCGTTTTTCCGTTTCTCTCCTCCTCTTCGTTCCTCCATCGCAATCACGTATAGTGGTATTACATGTAGAACATATCCATGGTTATGCCAGTACTGTGAGCATCGTCGCCTTGGTTGCGGACTTGCGCTGAAACCGTGTCGCGAAACGGCCACCGTGAACAGTGCTTCAGTAGCTTTCGGGGCCGAATGGTTGGCCTCGTCAACCCCTTCGTCTAATCGCTTTCTCTCACTTCCGGTTTCGACGAATCCGACCGCGAAACGGCTCGCAAACGTACGTACACAGACACGGTGACCGCGAGCTGCGTTTTGATCGTTGACGTGCAAGGATAAAAAGAAAACAAAAACCGACATGAAACACTCGGTCGTCCTCGTCTTGTGCGTCCTGGTCATTTTCTGTTTTTGTGGTAAGCGTCTGGACGTTCTGTCTAGCCTAACCCTGGTTCAACAATCGGACCCCGTTACCAGACTTCCTTATCGATCCTCGCGTCCTGCCTTCAGACCTACTTTCCCCATTTTACTATTTTCTTCGCATTTTATTTTATTAATGACGATTAGATATTTTATTATGGCCCGTGTACGTTTACGTGCTTTATACTTAAATATTTTTGATCAGGCGTCAGGTCTATTTTTGAACTTTTTCAACTGTACATTGTTATTGACACTTGTGGGAGGGGTTCTTGTTGGAACACAGATATTGCTTTTTATATACTTTAAAAAATATTTGTGTATTTTTAATTGATGAATATATGTATGAAAAAGACTTCTTGTGAATCCTAATTCGCTGTACTAAATTTTCTATTATAATTATCTTGTCTTACAGTTTATACAGTTTGGACAGTTTATCCTACATAAATTATAAAATTATAAAATTTTATATTCGTGTTGAATTTTTATTTAAAAATGTGATCTGAACTAGTGACGATTTTATTTAAATTATGACTTGTTTGAATTTATAGAAATTTATTTGAAATTTTGACAACTGTCTTGTTTTAATTTATGACAATTATTTTTATCAAAATTTTGAACTTATAAATAAAACATTTTATGTGAAATTTTGACAATTTGTATTAGATACATTTCATGACAATTATTGCCTAGATTTATAACAATTATTTTATTGATAATTATGGCAACTTTATTTTGTTTAAACGTATGACAATTATTTTTATTATAATAAAATATTTAAACTTATGACTTCTTGTTTGAATTTATATCAATTTTTTACCTTGAGCTTGTGACAACTTATAAACAATTTTGTTTGAATAATTTTCGATGGAAGCCGTTCCAAAACGGAACATTCAAGATGGCGAATTTAGTTGGCAAACTAATAGAACGCTATGTTAATATTGGATTCTCATTTTGAGATAATTTCACAAGTTTAATTGAATCATGGTCAGTTTCCTGGTTAACTGCGTTATGAGTTACGTTCGTTTTATTAATACTATTCCGTTGAGGACTTATGTCATACCCCTCATCCGTTCGGAAAAAATTGCTTATTTATCTCAATCGATTTAGTACTCGTTTATTTAAATAATAATAGAGTAATTACAACAACTTATTTCTTAATTTGTTATCTATTTTATATTTATAAAGGAAGTGTATCGAGTTATTTTCTGTTTTTAAAAAATAGTTTAAATATTATTAAAAAGTTAGAAATATATATTTTGGACAATGAAAATCTGTGACCGAATTTGAGGTTCTCGACGTAGACGCAGATCAATGGTGACGAACTATGCGCACAAGAATTATGTCTGTACACAATTTTGACTGAATATTGAAACATTGTCCCTTTTTATCTTTTATTGTCGTGCACTTATATCAAAAATTATTTTAAAAAATTTAAAGAATTATTCTTGGTTTGTGGATATTTTTCATTTGTCATTTCTTGCTTCTTTTTTTATTATAAAATTATAATCACTTGTTCAATCCACAAGTGACAGTTGTATGTCTTCAATGTTTTTATTCAAAATTAATATTATAAAAAATTAATCAAACAACCCAAACTTTATTTTAAATTAATATTTATTTTTTTTTGCAACCTGCTTGCATATGAGTTAGTATTATTTATCTTTCTATCTATGTATAAATTAATAATTATTTATTTTACTTTCTACATGTAAATTAATATTTGTCTTGCTATCTACATATAAATTATTAATTATTTATCTTACTGTCTACATAAAAACTGATAATTATTTATCTTACTCTCTACATAAATATTGATAATTATTTACCTTACTGTGTACATAAAAATTGATAATTATTTAACTTACTATGTACATAAAAATTGATAATTATTTATCTTACTCTTTACATAAAAATTGATAATTATTTATCTTGCTATCCATATAAAAATTAATAATTACTTATCTTGCTATCTACATATAAATTAATACTTATTTATCTCACTACACAACATATGTATAACAAAAATCACAGTTTCTAAAGCACCATTTTCAACCTGAACGAATAAACAACATAAAAAGTGTGTAATAATTAATAAGTTAAGAACTACTACCCGCAGGTGTATCTATTACAGTGACAACGATTATGCATAATATTATGTCATGTTTAGAACTGTGAATGACCGTAGAAACAAGATTAGAAGGTGCGAACAAGCTGTAAACTTATTGTGGTGATGCTTTTCTAGGCCACGTAGCTGCATTGATTTTTATATCAGTTACGTTGTTGAGGACGATGAACTTACTGTTTCACAAGAATACATTTATACGATCTTCCCTATATACTTTTATTTTAAATACAATTAATTAAGCGAAATTTAGTACTTGTTAATTGACAATGAGCAATGTTGAAACGTTAACCTATATAGATAGCTACATTTAGACAGTGATAACGAATCATACCAATGCATTGTTACATTTAAACACGTAATAATAATGGCCATTTACTTAATTGGATAGGGACCAGCGAGGGTTTAGGGTTATTACAATATGGCCAGCTCCTCCCCGTATAACGCGAGGGACAGAGGATCTCGAAGCTCCGCGATTTCTAAATTTTCAGATCTATAAAGTATGAACGCAAGTTTCTAAGTTTTTGAATGTTTGGCTTTTCAGTTTTGAATGAATCACATTCTCAAATTTTCAATTACCAAGTTCACATATTTTTAAATTACTAAATTTACAATTTTACAATTTTACAATTTTACAATTTTACAATTTTACAATTTTACAATTTTACAATTTTACAATTTTACAATTTTACAATTTTACAATTTTACAATTTTACAATTTTACAATTTTACAATTTTACAATTTTACAATTTTACAATTTTACAATTTACAAATTTTTAAACCCCTAATTCCTCAGTTTCCAAATTTCCAAAACTCCCAAATTTTAAAATTCCAAGAACCCCAAATTCCACAAATCCTAAATTCCAAGAATCCCAAATTCCAAGAACCCCAAATTTCAAAAATCTCAAATACCAAAAATCCCAAATTCCAAGAACCCCAAATTCCAAGAATCCCAAATTCCAAAAATCCCAAATTCCAAGAATCCCAAATTCCAAAAATCCCAAATTCCAAAAATCCCAAATTCCAAGAATCCCAAATTCCAAGAACCCCAAATTCCAAAAATCCCAAATTCCACAAACCCCAAATTCCAATAACCCCAAATTCTAAGAATCCCAAATTCCAAAATTCCCAAAAACTCCCAAATTCCAAAATTCCCAAAAACTCCCAAATTTCCAAAATTCCCCAAAACTCCCAAGTTTCAAAATTCCAGAAAACTCCCAAATTCAAAAATTTATCCCTCTTTTATCATTCTTAATGTAATTTCTATACGTCATCAACAAAACTACAAAATCAATTCCACCCCAAACAAAAATCTTAGATACGTCAATGACATAATGACATAATAATCATTTTTCATAACAAAACGATTAATCGTCGAATTATCTTCGTCTCACGCTGACCTCCCTTATCAATGGGTCAATAGTGATCGCAGCCTTGTGCTTCGAATAATATTCCAAACTATAACAACATTTTTACCATTAATTACATTGTAGCCACTATTTTCTATCACTTCATAATTACAGACATTATTTTATACCACTCTTTATAGATCTATTAACTTATTAAGGTATTTTGTAGAATGTTTTACTATATAGCCGAATTGAACCTCTTTGTATATGGTATAACCTTTTTGTTAAATATTAACTCTGCTCAAATCAGTTTCATATAAAAGAAGGGAAGATAAATTTATTTATTACAAGTCTGTTTCATAAATGAACTATTTACCTGTATATTTATTAACTATAATTTATTTATAATTTGTTAACTTCATTTGTAATAAATTATATTTCAAATCTTTTAAAAATGCTTTAGGAATTAATATGTAAAAGTTTAACTCTGTTAAATTTACAAATTACTTGTGAAGTATTAATAATTAATTGTAAAATTAATTTTACAAATTGAAATTAAGTAAAATTAATTTTGCAAGCTAAATGACCTCTTACTTTATTACAGATCTAAATAGATTCAAGCAGAGTTCTTCAAAATAAGAGTTAACAATTAAAATATGATAAATTTTAATAATTGTTTATTTTGTTTAACGTTACAGGTATAAACGCAATAAAGTGTTACCTTTGTAACAGTCACAATGACAGTCGATGCGCCGATGACGTTCCTCCAGATGTCCTTAAAAAGGACTGTGCCGATCTCAAGGACGGTGCTAAATACACAATGTGTAGAAAGATTACGCAAGTCATTGAGTTCAGTGTTAATGGACGTAAGTAACAAGAAAATTATATCAAATTATTATCACCAATCTTATAATAATTTTCAATGCACTTGTTGGTTAATATTTTATCCTTGTTACTATATTAAAATTGTAACAAAACCTTGTGACCGATGTATTCAAATGGTAAGACTGGAAATTATATTAAAATAGTATAACCGATGCTACGAATTCTTTACGATAATTTTAGTAAGCTGATGCACGAAGCTCTCGCTATATTGCCGTAGCGATAGAAAGTTCTAAGTCCCTAGATTTATGTACAAATATCTTGACTGTTGGAAATATTGAGATTTTGAAATTTGGGAATTTACGAATTTATAAATTTACGAGTTTCAGAATTTCTAAATTTAGAAATTTGCAAAGAGAAATTTTGAGGAGTTAAAAATTTGCAAGTTTAAAATTTTGAATTTGGAAATGAGAGTTTAAAAATTTCAAATATAAAAATTTGAGAAAATACATTCGGAAATTGAGAGATTTAAAATTTTAGGCACTTGGAAATTTAAATGTTAAAAGATTAAAAAAGAAATTTCAATAAAAATAATAATTCATAAGTTTTAAGATTAAATAAATGTAAGAGCCGTAATCGGTGCATTTAAATATTCCCGCGCCCAAGGTATTGCCTAAAGGTCAATCGTCATTTCCTCAACTCAAAAAAACGCAAGATCTCCAACAGTAAACATTACATAGATAATAACGATTGTATGTATTTGAAACAGTTCCACCTGATACACGAGTGATAAGAGGCTGCGGATGGGACGAATCGAATTACAAGAAAAAATGTTATCAACGAAGCGGTTTCGGTGGCCGTCAAGAAGTCTGTTCGTGTGTGGAAGACTTTTGCAACACGGCGACACCGAACGTTTTACCACCGAAATCTTTAATCCTGTCGTGTGTACTCGGCAGTGTTCTACTAGCATTCATTCGTAATTAGTTCCATGGAAATTAAACCTATTAACGAACAGTCTGCGAAGAGATGCGTTCGAGATTAGTACCTACCTACAGGCATTCTTCGGGAAACAATACAGTAATCGTTCGCCAAACGCTCGTTCCGATTGAAACTTTTGCCTAAGCGGAGAAAGAACGATTAATCGTTCGCTAGTTTAAAACGCACTCTAATACGTGCGGACAGGAGGCGCTCCTAACGAGCGTTTCTCGAACGGTTAGTGTATACGGATGGATAAGATGAGTCTCAGAGGAAGTGCATACATTCTGATCTCTGGCCGCGAATAAGAAAATTGCATAGCACAAGTGAACAAAATTGAAACGCCAAATATCCCGCGTTATTTATCGGATAAAAAAATGTTGACCGTGATGGAATCTCGAAATGAAATTCTAGAGACAGTGCAGTGGCTTCCTCCTGTCCATTATCGTAGTCTAGTGAAAACGTGCACGCTGTTCCTGATTGCCTGTTCATTTCGAACTGAATCTCGATAAAGGTTAGACAATGAGTTCTAAAATCAAATTATTCGCCAAAATTACTTTTCGAGTAACGCCGTATACATTCATCGATATTTACACAGAAATGTAATGGAAAACGGTCGCGTTTCTTCCAGAATATTTTCTAATTGCACAGGGACTCAGGAACGGTTCATTTTTGGTACTTTTTGCGAAACGTCGAACAGCTTGGCGAGCACTCCTTCATCATGCATAATTCTTCTTGAGAAACTCCAGTATAGGGTGCTGAAGGTGTGACAACAGTCACATTGTGTTCACTCGTCAATTTTTTGCGTAGAGCTTAAGAATGATATTACACACAAGTAACAATTACGCAACTTGTTGAAAGTCTATATGTTGTGACAACATTCGCGAGAGAATAAAAAAGCATCTGTATGACATGTTTTTGCAAAGCGAGGAAAATATATCAGGGTTGTCGTTGCGGAAGCTTATATGTTTATTATTTTCCACCACCCTAATTCAACAATACACGGTATCGTTTTTAAAAAATAATTTTCTTTATTTTTTATTACTATCAATTGTAGCCATTTTAAGTAGCTCTGTATATACGACTCGAACTACACATAAAATAAAGTTTACAATATTTCACGAAGTTGACACGTACATACAATTTCTTAATAATTTTTTAATATCGACAGTATTAAACATTTATAGATAATCAACGTTGTCAATATTGCAAACATATTAATATCTTATAGATAAAAAGCTTGAGCCGTGCGTCAAATTTTTCTCTCGTTTCATTGTTCCAGCAGGAAATTTTTGTTTCAATTCGGTAACCAGTAATCTGCCATTTTTCTTTACGGTGTTCATTGACTTTTTCGTTCCATAGATTATCATTTGCTCTTCAGTATGTAAATAAGTTTCACTGCTTCTGATTTACAAGAAATTTTGATCTGATTTTCCGTGATAAAAGAAAAAATACCGATCAAGAAAATGCTAACGTGTATATGTATGAAACCGAGAGACAGGGTGAAGTGATTTTAAAAAGTTGTGGATCAACCTCGTGTTCCTTTAATTTAATAGCAACTTTATTCGTTAATTATTCAAATTTTTTCCTTTCTTTCGATTTCCTACGTGAATATTTATTTAAGCGCTCTAACTTCACTTTACTATCTATTTTAAATCGTATCGTGCATGCAATCTCCTGATCTGTTGAGTTTTTTCATGTTCATTTACCTTGTTGCTCGCATATACGAATACAAATGGTTTATTCAAGAAGAATGAAAAGCTATTCGGATATCAGGTAAAATTTAAACTATTTATTGTATTTGTATAAAATATATAAAAATAAATAACATACTTAGGTTATTAATATGTCAATTAACAGTTGGTATGGTACCTACATTCACATCATTTGTTTAAAGTGTTTGACATATTAAAGAAATTCAATTTTCAAACAGGACCTGAGAACGTCAAAACAAGAAAATTATTTTTAAGTTGGCGTTAGGTGGATCATGCACCCAACAGCTACACGACCTAATCGATCGTCTATACAATCAGCTATTCTGCCTGCATCAGCACCTTCTTCCATTTTACATCCACAGCAGCAACAAATTCTTTATGGTCCTGTTCCTAATCCAACATTGACTCTTCAACCATGTGGAACTAGTCTGTATCCGTCTTGTATTTATCCAACAGCACGCCGTAATGCTGCTTTGACTAATCCTGTTCCTTTACACGTACAAGGTATAATTACATTTCTTTTCATCATACAATTTATTCCATACTTTCCTTTTAAACATATAATCTCTGTGTTCTTAAAGAATTAAGGATACTAGTATTACTAATTTCTCAGAAATTACCCTTTTTCATTATGTTTCTGTTTTCTGTTAGTTACTAATAGATATTAATAAAAAGCAAATGATATTGTTAGTTTCAAAATATATTTAAACAGTGCAGTTTTTGTAATTTCTTTATTATTATAGTTAATGGTATTAATATGGTAATACCAACCAATACCAATATAAAGTATCACCACTGATAGTACTAAGTGTTATATTTATTGTAAATAATGATTTCAGTTTTCTAAGATTCTCGTACAAACCCATCCATGAATATAGGCAAAAGCAGCAGATGGCCACCCAAGAATAAACTCATACGAAATCCAGAATATTATCAGCAGCAGCAGCAGCAACAACATATTCAACAGCAACTATCCTACAATCCGAAGTCTTTAGTCCTGTATGATCAGACAACAAATACTGGCCCATTGCCTGCATCAACTACCTCATTTTTAATTGCCTCCTCAACGTACACACATGGTTCCTTTACTGGAGACCAGTACAACTCTGGAATTGCTTTAGTACCTCAAACTTACTTCAAGCCTCCAGATGTGCAAACATTTTGTGTAGTTCAAGATCGACAAAGTATTCAACAACAACAACAAGAACAACTGCCACATGGATCCTATTACAATGTTCCATCCACAAACACTTGCAACTTGCAAACTGTCAACACTAATCCCTTGTTTCAATATTCTAATCTCAATCCTTATGCGTCTCCAGCAAATTATGCAAATCAAATCACGAGTCCGGTTGAAACAACACAGTCTAATCAAGTCTTCCCTAATCCTCCAGTGAATCTGGTCTTTCCAAATATACAGAGAGATAAAACTGCAACCTCTTCCACCACTTTTGACATTTCAACATTAAAATGCACTAAGAACAGGTTAACTACAGTGAACGATTCTCAAATCCCATTAACAACTACTGAAAGTTACAATGAATGGCCATCACAAACAACCACTTCCTCCGTTAACAGTTTATTGGACATGAAAGCATGTACAGATGACACAAAACCAGAAACCAATGCATATTCTTCAGATAAAGTTGCTACAAGTGTGTCTACAAAAATACAAGAAGAACATTACTCGGATGAATCCTCAGCTAGCTTTGACTTCACCATTGAAGCTGAGAAAATGGTTTCAGCTCTTTGCAACACATCTTCCAACGACATTGGTAAGGAAGAAATGAAGAATGATAAAAGTGATTCAGCACCATTGTTCAATGGTGCTGGTGACACTGTCTCAAACAAAAACACTTGGTTTACTGACTTCTGTGTGGATTATGGAACCAGCACATCCATAGCTGTACAAACTGATGCACCAACCATTGATCGCACCCAGTACCCCGAACTGCTACGAAAAGTCATTTACTGGGGATGCACAGAAGCCGAGGTCGTCTTAAATAACGACTGTAAAACAAATCCAAAATTTAGTTGGTTAAGGAACCTTTCCACCGCCACTAAAACGGCCGTCACAAAATCATCCACATGCTTCCCAATTTTTGCTGGAGATCGTGTATTCGTCAGCGACTTAATAAATGCTCTGCTACGCATCAGCAACGGTTGGCTCATCCTCGACAATTACTTGAACAAACAACATTATCCGAGTCTGGATGACAAATACAACTGCGAATTGGTCAGATGCTTTCAACAATGGGAAGAAAACACGCACGAGCTGCTCAGTCAGATTGTCCAAACGTTTTTGAAACTTGAAGGGAACCATGACACTTGCGATGCTGAGCAGAAACCAGAATCGTTTGAAACTTCTCTACCAGGTGATGTTTCAGCTTACACAAACCATGACTTGTTTGATCCATCCGCGAACAATACATCAAGGAATAAAAGGAACGATCAAGAAACGTTCCATGTCGGAAGTCAGCGAAATTTTGGCCAGTATAACGTTGATCAGGAGAGACAGACGGGTCAAAGAGAAACGAAATCTCGAAGTAAGTGGACTATCACTGAGAATGTAGTGACAGGTAATTATGCATAGGAAGGTCTTACCTCTGCAAGTATAACTTTGGTTGCTATAGGTTATTTACAACCCTTGAGTCCATTTGAGACCCATAGGAAGGAAAATAGTTTTTATATTTATAATGCAATAGAAACACTAATTCATGTATGCACACAAAATTTTTACTAGTGTTACCATATTGCTTTTGTGCCTTCACTAACGACACATTTGTTATAAAATCAAATGTCCAGACTTGGTTATACAAAGCAATGAAATTTATATATTTGCAGGGGTGGGACCTTTTTATACATAATTCCCTAATAGTAATAGACACGAATCTGTGCCTATGTTTCCAGGACACACAGAATCAGGTGCCCAAACAAACGGTAGATTTCGTTTAAAAGGAACTTCATCTGCCTCAAAGACCGACGTATCCACACAATCATTGAATGCCGAGTTTTTTCATCTGAGAAGCAAGGTTCTAACAGAAAGCAGCCAGGACCGACAATGGACGTTCAAAGAAAAGAAGCAGGAATATCCTGAAAACCCATCACAGCACGAGAACGACTCTATTTTTAGATTACAGCGACAACTGGACGAAAATTACGAGGGCAATTATACCCAGAAGTGTTTGTCAAGGGTGGAATCGTCGTTTATGAACCCTTCGATTAGTCTGGAGTCCATATACTTCAGTTCAAACAACGACACCGAGCATTTCTACCCCAATTACTCCATTTGCCCCTCGTACACGATAGACTACGGCCACAAGCATTTAAAAAATTTCGATCAGAACCATGGAAACAGGACTAATATGGACTTAATCTACGTCGGTAAATCGTCAACCAGTCAACTGCAATTGGCGGCAGTTCCAAAAGACAGAATGACGTTACTCAGTCAAATCGAGCCCAGTATTCCTGAGAAGTCTTCCGAAGAAATGACAGCTAACTTGTCCGCCTGGTTCGCGAGTATGAGAAACTCTGAAAATGCATCGCGAGCGCCATCTCGTCACGAGACGAAAAACACAACGGACCTCGGTAATTGCATCAGGCAGCTACAAATTGACGCGAACCGTCAGTTCCAAACGTTGCAAAACATGCAGAGCATACAAACAGCCCCCTGGAACGCTTACAATCTGATCAATAACCGTGTTCAAGCACAGCAGGCTCCCGAGGAGTACGACAGTTCCGAGGACGTTCGGGTTTACATGAAACCGGGTAGCTACAACGTCCCGAAAAAGAGGCACCAAAGAAAGTCTAATCGTCGTCTGGATTCACGAAACGAATCGAATAATCACAGAAGTCATTATAATAAAGAAAAGAACTTCTGTGCACCTTCGTCGTCGACACCGCTGCCTCGACTCGCAACGAACGTTTGCACAAACGTTAGCAGTACAACAACGAAGTTGCCGTTTCCGGCGAGTCCTATCGTACCGCCACCTGCATTTTCTCTTGAGAATTCACCGAGAATTTTGAAACGTCCCGACACATCCGGTTATAATGTGCCAGAGGATGTTACTTGGAAAGCGGCGTGCGCCTCGGCGGAAATTCTTTTGGAAGCTTTGAATGTTAAGAATGATAGCGATTCGAACAAAAAGGAAATTCAGCTGAGCGATGTCACGGAGGAACTTGAATGTGCCGAAGAGAATGACGGAGCATCGAAGAAGCAGGAGAAGCTGGAGGAAAATTCGTCGAAAACTTTGAAAGATGATAACGATATTTGCGGTGGAGTTTCGAGTTACGAGGCGTCGGAGGATGAGTCGGGATCTACTTATCGTCTGTCCCCCAAAACAAGTACCAACGAAATTTCACAGTTGTCTGATAGAAATGGTAAACATTATAGTTGTTTGAATGTACGAAGTATTTTTAAAATTACGGCGATGACAAGTATTTTAATCGGTTAGTTAAAATATTTATCGATATCACAATTTCGAAAATATTCAAACAAATCGATTGAAATAAATAAACTCTCGATATATTATCATAAAGCTAAAATTAACAGAAAAATTTGGAAATTAGCAATATACTTTATTGAGCAAAAAATTGTCTTCAAGAAATGCCATCATTATTATATAACGATCTGCAAAAATGGCAATATAACGAGAGTCTACTGTAGAACCATAGAAAATATTTCTATTTAATTTTTCTATGTGTTAACAAACAAATATCCTCCATTATTATATTTAATTACAATAATCAAATTTACTGAAACGTTGTCTAATTGTTTTAATACTAGAAGGACGGAAATTTAAAAAATGTTATATTTAATTAATACCGAACGAATCTATGCGAGAGGAAACAGAGCGTCGCATAACGGACATCTTAAGCGTTAAAATGCATTTTATTCTCTGCCCATAAAACGCTAAAGTCACATTCAGAAAAAAAGATGACATATTCAAGAAAGCACTTCCGTTCTTCCAGCATTAAATATCACAATATTTTATGCAGCTGCCCGTTAACAGGTTCTAGTAAAGTGAACGTAAAAACGGACTCGTGGTTAATCAGAACTTTGAACAACGTTAGTATGGCGAAGAAGCGGCGAAAAAGTAATAACGCGAAACGACGCAGTTCGGAATCGTCGAACAGTTCAGTGACGGAGAATGAGCAAACGGCGCCGGTTTCATCGACCAATGGCGACGCACCGATCAAAAACATGGAACAAACTACGTTAGAAGAGAGTCCCAAGGATCGAATTACGTCGGAAAAAACGAACCAAATTACAGGGAAAGCCACTTATTCCGAAACCGTTCGACGCTGCGCTTCCTCATCCTTCTCTGAGAAGAAAGAATTCTGCAAGAAAAGCAAATTGAATATCGCCAACATATCGGCGATTTCCGGTCGGAAATGTCAACGAAAAGATTTCGAGAAGTCGTACCGTCTGTTGCACAGCAGATCATGCAAGTGTTCCGGGAAGAGGACAGCGAAAAACTGCGACGGCGATAATCGAGCAGAAGAGACGTCAAAAATGAAACATGGGAAGAAAAAGGAGAATACTGGTTGCATCGAATTTTTAGACGGAAAAAGCGATCGAGGTTGGTCCGTGTGGTACAGTTCTAAAAGAAAGCAAAGCCTTAGTCCTCTCGCGCTTAGCAAGCTAGAAATGATACATCAAACTGTCTGGCAAATGGAGGACGCAGAAATTTTTAAGTGTCCGTCTTCGAGAAACGGCGATGACGCTCGACCCTCTGCACACACTGTTAGTTTGTTTATACGATGCTCTCTTGAGTAAATAGTAGGTTAAACCTTGATTAAACTTCTGTTTAGATCGAAGATTATTGTAAAGTTATCAAAAGTCCCATGTTCCTGGAAACTGTTGAGTACAAGCTGAAGAATCGAATCTATCACAAAGTAGAACACGCAGTTAGGGATTTTCGTCGTATTGTTTATAATTCGAAATTGTATCATAAGGTTTGTTCAGTTTTTATTGTAATTTTTCTCATATTATCTATAATATTATCTGTAATATTATTTATACTATTATCTATAATATTATCATTTATATTAATATTACCATTTATAAAATACGATGATATTTATTTAAAATTGAATTTTTTTGTTATAGAATGATTATGACCGAGTGAAAACAATCGAGACGTTGTCAAAGAAGCTCGAGGAATTATTCGAAGAACACTTTGCTAGCTGGGATTTCGGCAACATTAGCGGTAGTCCAAGAGAAAGTTCGCCGGTATTTCATCAATTTAAAACTGCTGGTCAAAAGTCGATAACTCGACGTTATAGTAATTCGAAGAAAAGTCCGTCCCCGTCAATCACAGAAAGTATTTGATACCACACTTTTGTGTGACATTAGACCTTACACAGAAGAATTATTGTACCTGTAATTCATGGTGATATTATACATCTACAATTTATATTATCCTTAGATTAAAAGAAAACTAATGATCGCATCGAATTTGTGAACCGATGGATTCAAAGTCAAATGTATATCTCTAAGACTCGATTATAATAACCGCGTTCTAGTCACGCATCAGTTCGTATCTTTGTTATCGTAAGCATTTTTACAATTCTTTTTTCTTTCGCGAAGTAACTCATGCCGTTAAGTACAATAAAATAATTTTTCATTTACATAATTAATGTATAATGAGAATCGAACGATAACGAAAGATAAGTATTATGTTAGGTGTACAAATGATTAATCCAAACCTTTAATATCTAATAATCAAAAATTATATTAATTTTCTATTTAGGTTCAATATTTATATTTTCAAAATCAAGATTTTTCATACGTTATTCAAAAAGAAATCCATCATGCGTTTTAACATATTCGTTGTATAAATTTTCGAATGTTTTAATAGCTGTATATGAACGCTAATATGATCTCAAAAGACATTTAAAAAAGTTTGGATTACTCATCCGTATACCTAATAATATTAAATTGTATTGTCAAACAGATGATTGTTAAATAAAAACGTAGAAAAATTCAAGAATCCCGCATTATCATTATTACCCAACGCGCATACGCAGTATGAACTGTATTACAAAGTTATTATGTACACACCATAGAAATGTCAGTTGAGCGATGCAGCTAGTTTACGCATATAGGTTATAGTAATGTCAAACACCGAGGGAGCAGAAAGATGGCGGTCAAGCGGTAATTTCACTATGTTCGGGTGTATATAATTTTTTAATGGCGCGTCTCGTACTCCCAGGGGATTCACCGAAATCATAATATTATCGTGCGATGTAACCACAGTGCTCACGACCGTCCCGTAAAGTAGTAGACCGTGTCAAGAACGGAAGAACAACGAAGGAGAGGGAGAAAAAGAGCGAAAGAAAGAGAGAGAGAGAGAGGAAAGAGACTACAGAAAGAGAACGGACCCAGTTTATACGTAACGAGTATAGAAGCGGTTCATTGCTCCGCTCCGAGTTGTCGCCAAGATGGATTGGGACTCAATCACGATGTCGAGCCTTCATCTAACAATGACCGAACACCTGTATTACGAAGACATTTTCAGTTATTGTTGTGAGAAAGCTGACAGCGATAAGGAAGTGCCGGTGATCAAAATCGCTGAGCTACTTCGTTCGGCTAATTTGCCAGGAGCTGTCACGATGGAGGTAAATTACGTCTATTCGTTACGTATAGTATGTCAGCTGTTGGTTTTCTGTCATGCTTCAGATCAAAATATCGAAACCATACAGTGTCTTTAATTGCATCATGGTGGGCGTTTGATGTGTCATAACACGCTACCAAGTCGGCAAGTCGTAAAAGCTCGTGAAGGTTAGAATTAAAGAGTTATTAGGTCTACCAGAAAGTTCTGTACATTTTATAGCCACTCAGGTTTCTCATTCTCGAATATAGTATGGACAGATTACAAACAGTGACCACTGTGTTAAGTGTTTGCTGTATAAAATAGGAGTTTCATGTTCAATTAGACAATCTATTATAACTGACAGTAAAACAAACATGTCAGTCCATCAGATCTATTTATGTTACCCTGTTCTTTGTAAGTTTCAGCAAAACAATAATAAAGCAGTTACGAAACAGAATGTGTATCTCATATAAAAGATATGCATATCAATGTTATGGGTTGATGATGATTTGAAAATTTTAGGGGTAATGATTTAAGTGGGAAAAATAAGACTCATTTAAAAAGAGAGTTAAAAATCAATGATCCTATTTTGTGGTGTGTTTGAATGAAAACCCTTTGTTAAGTTAAAATAATTTTATATTATAAATTTAAAACTTACTTATTTCATAACAAAAATGGATTTTTACTATTTGCAGATACTGGATATCTGTTTTGGGGCTGAAGCAGCATATATCGACACTCATTTGGGAAGGAAACAGTTCTACGCATTATTGAAGCTTGTAGCAGCTCATCAAGCAGGACTTAGTATTCATAAAGACATAATTACCATGCCTTTGGATATAATAACTTTGCCCAGATTTACTTGGCCAATGTCAGGAGACAAAGAGGGGAGAAGAAGTTCCGATTCAAATAAAGCTATGAAAAGTCGACACCATACACCTGAAAGCACTACAGAAAGTGAAAGCGAAGCAGAATCTCCAAGAGAAACTGGTGCTAGTACAGATTCGCCGACACCGACAAATAGTGTCACACAGGAAAGAAATAATGATATACATGGTGAAACGATATTGGACTCTGTATCTGGTGGTTGGCAAGGCTTATTAGTATCCGAAGAACAGAGGCAACTATTAGGAACTGAAGAAGAAAGTTCGGAGCGTCACAGCAGTGATGAAGGTGAAGGAGATGGCGATGGTTCAGGATTCCCACCAGAAGAAGTGTGGATAATTAGTGATGAACAACGTGATTATTATGCAGCTCAGTTTGCGCAACTACAACTTGATTCTGAGGGACTGTTGCACGGTCCCATTGCAAGGACATTCTTCGAAAAGTCTGGACTTCCTTTAGGGCAACTTAGTCGCATTTGGCAGCTAGCAGATATAACTAGAGATGGAGCATTAAGTTTAGAAGAATTTTTTGTGGCTATGCATCTTGTTGTGTTACGAAGGAATAATGTGCCTCTACCTAATGTTTTACCTCCACCTTTACTATTCCGTTTGGTTTATCAAAACAATGGTCCAGTATCTGTTCCATCAACTACAACTACTCAAAAGACTCCACCCAATTCCACCAGTACTCATGAGAAAAATAAAGAATGGACAAAATTTGTTGATTCACCAACTGGAACTAGTAGTTCTCTCACTAGTCCAGGTCTACAGTTAGTAAATTTCGATTTCCAAAAGTCTGCCGTCGAAAAAGACCCTAAAATTCTGCATCCTGTACCGTTACGGTTAACGCCTGAAGCAGCGATTCTTGCTTCTGGAGCAAACGGTAACAATAGTAACTGCGTTACATTAGGAGATGATGATCTCCAACGCGCTGCAAGTACATTGGTGCAACGACCTCTTATAAAAAAACCACTTCCACCTCCTGAAGAAGCTATTATTGTAACTCCAAAGAAGGAACCACCACCTCCACCACCACCCAGACCATACAGAACACATGCAAGAAGTTCTAGTCTTGATCTTAATAAATTAGGTATATGTTGCTACCAATACTCTGCGATACTTATCATCTGTGGCTGTGAAAGCAAAGTTTTACGCTTCAAACTGTGCGCGTTCTTGTAGGGAAAAATGGTCAAAGTTTCCTCGGAGCACCTCCACTAGTTCCACCAAGAATCTCTCCTGGAATCGTAAGTATTCTTATTTGCTGTTTAACTGTCAAATGATGAAATTAAAATTATTAATGACCAGTCCTGCATTTAATTAAGCTGCTTCTTATGGACCTATACAGTAGATACTTATTTCACATATTATGAATTAATTTAACAATTTGGAAAGTAAACAAACATAGGCAAAATTGTTGCTATAAAGAAAATTTTGTCACATATCTCTACTACAGACTTCACCTCGAAAATTGGTTGGTCAAAAGAGTGAGGGAGAAGGACAAAAAACATTAAACGAAAATCAGAGTTTTATTGCTGATTTTTCTCACTTTTCTCCAAAGAGCGAACTACCTGAAAATCTACCTTTGGAAACAGTACCCCCCCAATCACAGCAATTTAGTGGTGTCTGTGGTGCATTTCATATTTATAGAAAACCCAGTCCAAGTAAGTTCCTTAATTGGTTTATATACACGCTTAAAAAATTTTTGTCAAATAACAAGATTTGTCATTTCTTGTTTCTTCTTGCAGAACGAGAAGGAGGAGAAGAAGACACACCTAAAGATGAGGTAGAAGAGTCAAAGAAATTAACGCTACAAGAATTACGAGAAAAAAACGCTGAGCTCCGATTAGTCTGTGAAGAATTAACACGAGAATTAGCTAGCGCACTTCAGGAACGTATAAATCTCCGTGCAAAACTTTTACTCTTAACATGATGTAATGTGTTAACATTTGTAAAAGTTCCAAACAGTGAATTACCGATTTCTCCTAAATTCATTATAAAATCGAGTATTTCATATGTCGTACTAGTCTAGTTTTCTCTACTTTTTTTTTGCGATAAACTATCGTATATTCGTAATAATTAGAGTAACCAAATGTTAACATTACAAAACAGATAATCATTTAAAAAAAAATTTCTATTTTTTATGCATAGTATTGTTCTAAATTGCTAAAAAGTAGTTCTTTATATACTGAAAAATCTATTAAAAAGTTGAACATTTACATCGAGCAATAGTCAAAGCTTGATGATTATTGTACACTGCAAAACTATAGAAAGAATATTATAAAAAATGAGTGATAGATGTTGATTGTTTACGATGACAAAATAAAACTGTATTTTCGTATCGCTGTACAATCAAATTTTTCAAATGCATGGCATATAGAGCAAATCGATATTCCTGAAAAAAAAACTGTTATAAAATGTATTTTATTTCGTGATAATTGTAAATAGTTAATAGAATTAGAACAAGGAATGAGATAAAATGAAATCTGCAGAAGCAGAACATTTAAAGACTTATTAAATTGTTAATGATTCGACTTGATTTATGTATTGTTCTAATTTTACATTAGTTTGGTTATTGTTTAATGTATCGCTTTCAATCGCAAGAAATAATACTTCACATCATATTACGGTCAAGTCTCGATATAAGGCCCTGGATGAGACTAGGAACAGGAAAGTGGTAGATAAGGTCATATAAAAGAAACTCCTTTTAGCATTTGAATAAACAAAGTTCTTTCGCCGAAAATTTGAAAATATTAAATTTTGGATACTTGTAAATTTAAAAATTTTTAATTTTCAAGCACAATCAATGATTAAGAAGCACCAATAGTATATGCGGAAATCTGTATGGACGTTGAACGGGCCATATAGCGAGATTGCACTGTATAAAATGTTTGTTATACTGCTTCTATAAATTATAGTATATTACTGACACAATAGCTATCTCCTTAAAAGTAGTTTCAATTTATCATTATAAAAGAATGATTTAACGTTGCTGAGAACCGTCAAATAATTCTTCGTGCCATACAATATGATATTTTAATATTATTAATGATTACAACCACTACTGATTGCTAGAAACTATTCCTCTTGTTGTTGAAACTATTTAGAACTATTTCGATCAACAATCATAAAAGGGTCTTTTTTGTATGTGTATAGAAATTATGTAAAGATAGCATGTAAAAAGTATATAAAGTTAACTGTTATTTTACTCATTCCTTTTGTCCATAATAATTGTGTAAAAATGTAACAATATATGCAAACAATTGATTGAAGAATCGAATAAAGCATTCTCTTAGTTTCATAACAATTTTTATTGATGTCAATGTATGAATGGTAAATAATATTAATGTTACAGAAATGAATCACAAATATTTTAAGGTCTCTGTTATGAAGGTTGAATGAATGAACAATAGAAATCAATTAAATGTAATTGTACTTAGATAATACAACACGAGAATATAATAATTTATGTTACATACATGGACTATGTAACTTTTACGCATACAACGTTGTTATTTGTATTTATATTTTTCTTTCATCGTTTACGAATTACATTTCAAAATTATGAACGCAAATCTAAATTAAGTAATATAACAAAGCCTGTTTGTTTTGTACTTGTTTCCGACGATAGACGCCTATACAACACTAATTATTGTACTTCTACTGTGCGAAAAAAATGTACGTTGAAGTATTCTCAATTTCAATATTTTCAATTCTTGGAAATGCTACCAGCTAAAAATAACGTTATTTAATCTGAAATCCATACAACGATGTATTTTATATGATAGACACTATCATACAGAAACCTTTACGAAAGTGTTACGTACAAACGTACGTAAAACTCTTTAGTTGTCTTTCGTCTGTATGTATTTGATCAGGTCAATCACGCGGCTAGAGTAACCAAATTCGTTATCATACCACGAGATTAATTTTACAAAGTTATCGTTCAAAGGTATACCAGCTTTAGCATCAAAAATACTAGAGTGGTTGTCACCAATAAAGTCGGAAGACACTACGTCATCCTCGGTGTATCCTAGGATTCCCTTCATAGGTCCCTCGGCAGCTTCCTTTACCTTAGCTTTAATACTATCATAATTTGCTGGTTTGCCAAGTCTGACCGTCAAGTCGACTACCGACACGTTATGTACTGGCACACGGAATGCCATACCAGTCAACTTTCCATTAAGAGCTGGAATGACTTTACCGACAGCTTTGGCGGCACCCGTTGCAGCGGGGATAATATTTTGTGCAGCACCACGGCCATCTCTCCACAACTATTATAAAAAGAAGTAACATATAATAAAATTGCTTATTAAAATATAAGTATATAAGTACATTAAAACGAATACATACTTTTCCGGAAGGTCCGTCCACAGTTTTCTGGGTAGCAGTGATAGCATGTACAGTAGTCATAAGACCTTCAATAATTTCAAAGTTGTCATGAATAACTTTAGCAAGAGGAGCTAAGCAGTTGGTAGTGCAAGAAGCATTGGAGATAACTTTGTAGGATGGGTCATAACTATCCAGGTTAACACCAACAACGAACATTGGTGCATCAGCAGATGGTGCAGAGATGATAACCTTCTTGGCACCACCTTCCAAGTGAGCCTATAAAAGCAACATAAGTATATTACAATATTGCAATTATAGAACAATATAAACACATGTAAATCTGTTTATAGAAGCACATAAATTTGTACGTACAGAAGCCTTATCTATGGTAGTGAAAACACCAGTGGATTCTACAATATATTCAGCTCCTGCTTTGGACCATGGAATGGCTTTTGGTTCACGTTCGCTGAACACAGCGATTTTATTGCCATTGACAACTAGGCAACCATTTTCAGCCTTAACTTCTCCCTTGAATCTGCCATGAGTGGAATCATATTTGAACATGTATACCATGTAGTCCAAACCAATGAACGGGTCATTGATGGCAACAACCTATTAAAATAATTGCAATTAATAAATGCAATGAAATATGATAAAAGAGAATCGTGTTAATAAAATTATTATGTAATACCTGAGCACCACGTTCAAGGGAGGCTCTCAGCACCAGACGGCCAATACGGCCAAATCCGTTAATTCCGATTTTACTCATGTCGTCGTCGTCTGAACAACTAGAAAATAAACGAGATCGTCTGTAATATATCTTCGGTACTTGAAATATGCTTTGACGTTTAAAAAGTAGTTTTTGTGTTATATAAGTGAATGAAACGAATCTCATTGCAAATGTCATAACCTCAAACGAGGTTCAAATTCTATTTTATAATAATACTATTATAAAAATAATTGCAATGCTATTTTCTATTGTTTTGGTATAAAAAATATTAAATTAATCGTCCATAAGAATAAATGGTTTCTGTTACCAGAATATGCATAAATTTATTGCAAAATTGTCTGTGTTTTGTTGTATATTATTATTTAGAAATCAGATGAAAAAATAAGGAAAGCATTGAAAATGACAATTTAATGTTAAATGAATTCATTTACCAAAATCACCTTTTTACTTTATTTTATAAAATTATTATTTATGTTTATTATTTTAATTGTCTTACTTGCAACTAGACATTCTAGCATTAGAATTAAAAAAATAAATAAAACTGGAGTTGATTAGTTTATGAACAGCTGAAGTATTATTTATTATTAGGTGATATTGAAAATTGTTTGCGTTGTTAAATTATACATTTTGAAAATTAAACAGTATATTACAGTTGAAATAGTTTAATTGTACACCTCGTGTGATCTTAAAGGTCAATCAAGGTCAAAAAATCTCACTGCCTCCCTTCCATTTTGACCTTGAAATCAAACGTGACTTTTCTCGTGTATACAGGTATACACATTTTACAGCTTGTAATTACCTTTTTCTTTCAGATTTAATATCACTTTAATTAGTTTAAATGAAATGATGTTTAATTAACGAACGCAAAGTTAATACATTATGCGTTAACTATAACATTTATACATTAGATTTTTTTAAGCTTAAAAGTTTACTACGATTAAAACGAAACATGAAAGAAATAAAATTGTAATAAAAAAATATACAAATTCTGTAATTTGAAAACGTAAGTAAATAAATTAGGGTTTCGGCCATGTTGCAACAACGAATGTTGAAATTGCGGAAGACAAAATTTGACATTGATTTATCTCGTCTTATCAATTCATAACTAAATCTAAATTGACCGATACAGCAATCATAGTGTACCAATATCATGATCACAATTGACCAATAGAAACTCTAGATAGCTCGTACGACACAGCAGACACATCTTTTTTAAATGTAATGCAAAATAATAAATACAATTAACATTCATTAATTAACATCCGATCATTAGCAGTACAAATTTGAACACACATAAATTATTAAACTCTTTCTAAAAGACTCTTCAATTTTATGTCTATTATTGCACGAATTATTGCAATAAGGCAATTTTTTTAATGACGTCATGTTAGCCGGTAGGAGCACACGTACATTATTCTGGATACAAGATCACAATTGTTCTATTAATACCAAGATGAAAATCGATGACTGCAGTTTATCACGGAACAAAAATAAGAAGCAAGGAAATATCTATTAATTCATGAAAAGATGAATGTTAGAATAAATGGAGCAAAGTGAGAAATTCTCAATACGTACCTGAAAAATTGATCCGCACGTAACCGTTACCACGAAAGCAGTGTCATTTGAAGGGCAGAGAGCGTTAATATAAGAGTCATCGGTTTTAGGCGTATGCGCCGTAACCGTTTTTTGATTTCGTGCATCATCGGCTACGTTCGGATCACGTGGATGCAAATTTGTATTGGCATATTCGATAACCGCCAAATTTGAACGACGATCTGTATCTTCTATTAAAATATTAGTTAAAATACTAAAAAAAATAGTAACAATGTTATTTTATATGTGATCTTTACTTTTTTTAGGTAAATAGACAAAATAAAATTGATAAAAACAGTTCTTAAATTACAGATAGCAGTACAAATTAAAGTTTTTGTGTAAAGTATTAAAAATCGTCACGTGTTGTTACTTAATGAATTATTCTTCAGCTTCTGCTTCCTGCGGAGCTACTGGTATGTTACCGGAATCGACTTGATACATATAGTTTATTAAATCCGTTACTCGGTGAGCGTAACCGTATTCATTGTCATACCTGCAGATTTTAATTAACAATTAGAATTATAAAATACTTGTGCTAAAAATTTCTAACGTAACAAATTATTTTTAATTTTTTTGCATTGTAAATATAAAAATATTTGAAATACACGTTAATTACCAGGCAACGATTTTGATGAATGTGCTCGTCTGAGGAATGCCAGCTTTAGAGTCAAAAATGCAGGAATAACTTGTGTTATTAAAATCAGACGACACACAATCTTCGTCCGTGTATCCTAATATATCTTTCAACTCATTTTCTGACGCTGATTTCATTGCATCTTTTACTTCCTCATACGTTGTTGGTTTGCTAACCCTGTAATTTATAGACATAAAATTCGTTCAAAATAATTTTTATATTTTTTCGGTTACTATACAGGGTGTCTTAGTGTGGGTCCCTGAAATGAGGGGGTAGCTGACGTGATTCTGAATAAGATTTCCCTTTGCAAAAATGGGGTTTGAAGCTTCGTTTTTGAATTACTACCCCCATTTCAGGGACCTATACTAATTAAATTAAATATTAAACTAAATTAATATTAAACACCCTATATAATATAATCTTTATAGAATATCGAGAATAGTTTCTTACCTAAATGTCATATCGCACAAAGAAACATTCGGTATAGGTACTCTAAAAGCGATCGCCGAAATTTTTCCCTTAAGTTCAGGAATAATTTTGTCCAACGACTTCGCCGCACCTGAAGACGTCGGAATAATATTTTGAAGCCCGCTTCTGCCGTCTCTCCACAGCTGACAATTTTAATACGATTATCTTATTATTCTTATAAGCTTGCAAATATTTTTACCTTTCCCTTTTCTATGGGGCCATCTAATGTTCTCTGCATCGACGTAACGGCATGCACGCTGCTGATCATTACTTCAATAACTTCAAATTTATCGTGCATTACTTTGATAATCGGGGCTGCACAATTTGTCGTGCACGAGGCAGCTGATACTACTTTACATTTCTTCGGATCGTAACAAGCATGATTTACACCGTAAGCTATCATCTGTGCATCGACCGAGGGTGCGGTGATAACTACCCTCTTTGCACCGCCGTCCATATGTAACTGCAATCGGATATTTACTTTTGTTGTGGGAATATAGCGTGTTTTGTTTTGAAAGATATTTTTTGAGGATTTAAAATTGAACATTTTTTTTAAGGATTTAAAATTGTATATTTTTATTAAGGATTTAAAAATGTATATTTTTAAAGCTTGCAAATATTTTTACCTTTCCCTTTTCTATGGGGCCATCTAATGTTCTCTGCATCGACGTAACGGCATGCACGCTGCTGATCATTACTTCAATAACTTCAAATTTATCGTGCATTACTTTGATAATCGGGGCTGCACAATTTGTCGTGCACGAGGCAGCTGATACTACTTTACATTTCTTCGGATCGTAACAAGCATGATTTACACCGTAAGCTATCATCTGTGCATCGACCGAGGGTGCGGTGATAACTACCCTCTTTGCACCGCCGTCCATATGTAACTGCAATCGGATATTTACTTTTGTTGTGGGAATATAGCGTGTTTTGTTTTGAAAGATATTTATTAAGGATTTAAAATTGAACATTTTTTTAAAGGATTTAAAATTGTATATTTTTATTAAGGATTTAAAATTGTACATTTTTATTAAAGATTTAAAATTGAACATTTTTTTTAAGGATTTAAAATTGAACATTTTTTTTAAGGATTTAAAATTGTATATTTTTATTAAGGATTTAAAATTGTACATTTTTATTAAGGATTTAAAATTGAACATTTTTTTTAAGGATTTAAAATTGTATGGTTTCATGTATTAACCCTCTGAGGATTAAATATGAAGCACTTCTAAGTCAAAACACATTATCATATATTTTATTTAAAGTAAACTAAATATTTGCCTTCAAAATAAATATATAATTTAAACAAACTCTATACTTAAACTATATCTATAATTTAAATAAAATATTAAAATTGTATTGCACATCTAAACATGAAAAACTAAATATATTAATCTTGATACACTTTGCATTCATATATTGATTTTTTTAAAATGTATTACATATAAAATAAAAAATTAAAGTTCTTACACTTGCTTTCTCCAAAGTATTAAACACTCCTGTAGCTTCGATTACGTAAGTTACACCTGCTTCTTTCCAATTTATTTTGCATGGATTTTTTTCTTGAGACGTGGCTATTCTCTTATCTGAACAGAAAAAATTAACTCGTACTTTGTTGTAGAGTAAATATTTTAAATACTTTTTGCTTATGTAATGTACCAGTATTTTGCAAACAGTTATCCATATTTTGCGATCGTTTACCCATAATGCGATCGTTTAATTTATTTCACGAGGTGGTTTTTTCTTCAACAAAATTACTGTTTAAATACTTAAAAACTGTAGTTGAAACGTACCTGCGATAACCATGAATCCATCTTCGCATTCCACTTTCAAAGGATAAGTTCCATGAGTCGAATCGTATTTGAATAAATATATCATATAATCGGTTGAAATAAATGGATCGTTAATCAAGCTAACCTAATAAAATGAACAATCTATGTCTGTGTATGAAAATATTTTTAACAACTAGTCATTACCGTCATGTCCTTCTCTATGCAAGTACGCAAACACATTCGACCTATTCTTCCGAATCCGTTAATTCCTACGATGGCCATAGTTTTGTGATAAAAATACTGTCCCTGGTAAAATATTCGAAAATTTAGTATAAAATTTGTGTTCCATTTCAGTTGTTACTGTTTGAACAATCAATAATGCGAATTTGCTTGCAAGTTTGTTGAATTACTAAATTTAACAGTTTTGTGATTTTTGAATTCTCTGATCATAAAATTCTTAGGTCCTCAAATTTTTAATTTGCAAATACCCTAATCAGAAGATTCTTAAATCCTCAAATTTTCAATTTCCAAATTTTTAAATCTTCAAATTTTCAATTTCTAAATTCCTAAATCCTCAAATTTTCAATTTCTAAATTCCTAAATCCTCAAATTATCAATTTCTAAATTCCTAAATCCTTAAATTTCCAATTTCCAAATACCCTAATCATAAAATTCTTAAATCCTCAAATTTTCAATTTCCAAATTTTTAAATCTTCAAATTTTCAATTTCTAAATTCCTAAATCCTCAAATTTTCAATTTCTAAATACTTAAATCCTCAAATTATCAATTTCTAAATTCCTAAATCTTCAAATCTTCAATCTCCAAATTCCTAAACTCTCAAATTTCCAATTACCCAATTCCTAAATCTTCAAATTCTCAAAAACGTAAAATTTCCAACTCCGCCTAACTTCAAAGACTATTACAAACCCTTCCAACAATCAAACTCATAATTTAAAAATTAAACACAATAATAACTTGATAAATATTTTTCTCTTATTGATATATTAAATTTTAATTTCAAGAAGAAATTGAACTATCAGTTCCAAATGATTTGAAATTTAACGTTAAGTACCTCTGAATGAATACTCGGAATTTACGCTATTTATTTATTGTTTTTGCTGTGATCGAAGCCATTATTAAATACGTAGAAGCTGAATGCCGACAATGAAGAACAGACAACATTACTAGAACAGAGAATCAGATCGTTATTCGAATAGTCTTACGTTTACGGTGAAGGAAGTCAGTTCGAGAGGCTCAAGATGCCTCGTAAAAGTTACTTTGAACTACCGCTATTCTAAAACTATTCGACGGTAAGTCTTAATAAAATAATATAAATTGCTCTTAATAACATAAAATTATTACATATACTTTTAATAAAATAACGTTTAATATTTAATAAAATAAATTACAGCGTTCGATTGGGAAGATTAAAAATGAAATATTCTAAAATTACTGAGATTTGATGCTTGGCCTGAGAAAGTACAAATAATTAACAAAATGAAATGTGGAAAAATTGTCAGCTAAAATTTTCACGTACTCAAGGTATTTATAATATAATTTAAAACGTATAAATAGTGCAAGATTAAATCTACAAGTTTCATTAAATTTATAAATAAATTCACTGTCGAATTTCAGAATAATTCTCTCAGAAACTTTGGAATAATGGACGCGTATAAATTATTGTACTACATTCGCGGTCTTTATGGCGAACGAACTTTAAAGATAATTTTACTCGAGTACATTTGTAACATGAAACGGAAAAAAGGAATTCGATATTTAAAATAATGAAGTAACGAGATATATCCTTAAATGATTATTTTGAAAAATATTCGTAACCGAAATAAATTCATTATCATCTTCTCTCAAATTAAAGTAAATTGTAGTATAATCCCTTTTTGTATTGGAAATTTAAAATATTATTTCATGTAATTATAACAAATATAGTTACAGCTATTTTTTATATGTTTAAAAATGTATTACATGAGTAATATTTATAAATTCCACAAAATTAATATCAATCCACAGCGTTTACAAGTATTACAATTTCTATATTTTTAGAGAAAAATTGATAATGAATTTTATGTACAATATTTTTCTGAAAATAATCATAAGTTTTAATCGATTGTATAAGGTTTATTGGTCCTACATTTTTTTAGTGACATTTATTTGTATTATATATATACATAAGTTTCGTAGAATGTTTAAGAATTAAATCTATAGCTTTTAAACAATATGTAATAACGTCTGACTGCTTCAGATTAACATATCTGCAGCTAATCTTCGGTTGAAAATATTAATAATTAATATGCGATGTTTGGCGTAGGTTCGAATATTTAGTCTGACGAAAATTAAATACTTATATTATAAAAAAATTTATTAACAATTGCAAAATAGACTGTAAGTCACCGATCATTGGAGATCCTTTTCATCGTTGTTACAACGATGAATGCTTTTTCAAGGATCTCCAGTGAAAAGATGGCTTTGAAAATGTCATAATATGCATGCAATATATTCTGTTCAATAAATAATCTTTAGTATTTTATTTGTAATTTTTAATGTGCTAGTTCAAACTTGTAATTATTTGTAGTTCATGGAGTTTTATTTGCATGCAATAGGAAAAACGGTCTACTAAAATGAATTAGAGTTAAAGAAATTTTGACACAAGAGTTAAAACTATTAAAAATTAACGTTTTATTTGGATTCAGTTGTATCAAGTGCTGTAACATAAATTATTTTCTTCTTAGTAAATTGTAAATGAGTTTTCAAATAATTGTGAAAGGTCCTCTCTAGATTGTTCTCGTGGGGCCAGTTTTGTAATGCGGTGCTGCAAATAAGACACAAAGAATGAATTAGTAAATTCAAGGTATCAATAGTGATGTATAAACAATACAGAAAATGTATAACATATACGTATATAGTTATAAATATATGATCATATAAAAGTAAATATTAAATTATAATCATAAGTATGTATTAAGATGTCACAATTGTAAATTCATTATATACAAACATATGTACTGTTAAACATATGGTGAATTTACATAATTGTAAGCATTCATGTATGGTGACTAATAAATCACTATCACAAACTAATTTGAACTTTTCTATTGATTATTATCTCTATTTGAGATATTCCAATTCATAACATTTGTTCAACTTATCCAATTCATCACAAGTATTCAACTTATGAAGAATTGCTGTTCAATAATGAAATGAGGTTAGCCACAAAATTATAATTATTTTAAAGTTTAATGAAAAGAAATATTAGTATCTTTACCTGTGGTAATGTGCCTTCAACTAAATTAGGAATATCTTCCTTCTTGAATCCTAATTCTGTTAAACCATTTTCAACTTTCATTGTTTGCATATACTTCCTTACAGTATCTGCTAAGATTTTTCCTGCATCACTTCTTTTTGCTTTATGAGTATCAGTTCCAAGTAATTCAGCAGCTTCTAAGTGTCTGTCTGCACAGGCATCTCCAGTGAAAGAAAATACTGCAGGTGCTGATATAACAACTGAAAGACCATGCGGTACTATAGGGTGGTCTTTGCTATAACCCTGAAAAAGCAATATATTAATATTATTCATGTTTAAAAATTTTCTAAGTTCTTATATATGAAATTTACATTAGATTTACCTCAGGTTGGAAGCTTCGTACATTTCCACTAATAGGATAAGACAATGCATGGCACAGATGAACTCCAGCATTACCAAATCCAACACCTGCCATAGTACTTGCAAGATGCATGTAACTTCTGGCTTCCAGATCATCTTGGTTGTAAACTGCTCTTTCAAAGTATCTATATAGAGAAACATATATATAAACGTTATTTGTGTAACAATTATTATTCTGCTACCTAATCAATGCATTCACTTACTTGCGCATTATCTGAAGAGCGTATCTTGACCACACATCACTGATGGGGTTGCTACCTTGGTAAGCTGGTCGAAGAATAGGGTTTGGAGGACAAGGTGTTCTTTCTGTGTATGGCAATGCAGTAAAAGATTCAAGGGCATGGCAAAGTACATCAAAACCAGAATAAGCGCAAACTCTTTCTGGCATGCTCAAGGTATGATGTGGATCAATAAGACCCAAAGTAGGCCTCAGAGCTCTATTGCAATTAAAATTCTTGAAATAAATAATAATTTTAGATAACTAAATAAATAATTTAATAAACTGGATTCTCAGATAATTAATGTTCATTCTTTTAAATTGAAGCTTTTGATATAAAAGTTGTATAGTAATTTGAAAAGTGACTTGCCTGTTAGCAATCCCAGTCTTGGCATGAAGTGGTTGATAATCAAAGATAGAAACACCAGTTGTTTCTGATCCTGTACCAGATGTAGTTGGTATTGCTATCAAAGGTTTTAATGATACTGAAATTGGTTTTCCTTTACCAATGGGTGCATTTACATAATCTAGAAAATCTGCTTCTGGATCAGAACTATAAAGATTTGCTGCCTTACAAGTGTCCATAACTGAACCTCCACCTACCTAATAAAAGAAAGTTTGTATAATGCTATGATATATACAATCTAATAAATAAGAGTTAAAATTAATTTTTAATTATACAAATTTTTTAATGGCTCACCGCTATGAAAGCATCAAAATTTTTCTGCTTAACAAATTCAATAGCATCTTTAAGACTCTGCTCTGTAGGCTCAACACGTACATTATCATAGACTGTAGTTTGAATACCATGTTTAGTAAGACTGTCCATAGCAGTTTTAACAGGTGGTAGATTTACTAGATTTGAATCTGTCATTAAACAAACACTTTTTGAACCAAAATTTTGCATATCCATGCCCAATTCTTTGGTAACACCAACACCATATCGTACTGTTGAACAAGCCATCTGTAATTTATAAAATTTTTCATATGTGAAACTGTTTCTATAAGAACTAATTATTTTGTTACAAAATGAAATAAAAGATATATACATAATTAAATAAAAGTGCAGTTAAAAAATATTCAGTGTCATAAAAGTCATAAAAACTAAATGCTTAATCCATAAAAATGTAATAAGTGAAACATTGCTGATTACTTGGAAAATTGATGAAGATTTACGTATATAAACTTTAGACTATTGCCATAAATTTTTATATGATAATAAACATGAATAGTTAAAAAATATCCATTATCTGAATAAGCTGATTACAGTGTTCCTTATATTTCACAATTTATATGACCTATGATATAACTGATTTTACTATATAATATTAGGTATTATATGTATCATGTATAGACTTTTTTGAAATTGTAGAATGCATGCCTCAAAAGCATATTCTTTTGTTGGTGTGGTATTTGTTACTGTACTGCAAGCTTTTGTTAATTCATGCATGGTTGTGCCTCCTGGATTTCCATGAGCTGGACATTTGCATCTATAATAAAATTGGTTTTATTTAATAAAAATGTATCACTCTAATCATTATGATGTTATGTAACTTATAACATGTTACTGTAATATTCAAAAATATAATCCATACTTGATGTAAAGCAAATACAATTATTATGGATATTACAAGATAATTTACCAAATTGCCAGATGTTTATGATGACTCTATTAATATTCATTATAATTATTTACTTACGATTGTGAATAAACAACTTGGAGTAGATCCAGAATATTTTTTCTAGGAGCCATTCTTAACTAGTACAAAGTACAATTATGAAAAAAATTACTAATTGAAAAAAGAAATTACGAAATATATTGTGTAAATATTTTCTTCGTTAATTTCTTGCGTTCCGCGCTGCACCAATCGTTCAAATGCCTTCTCCAGACTTATCTACATATTTACATGTTGTGACATATATATAGTCAGTATCGTATCACGTTTTACATTCGTAATGACGCTAATGATAAATATTTTCGGTGAAAATAAAATCTATTACAAAGTTTGCTTCTCAAATGTATGCTATTAAAAATTGACTGTTATTTTCAACACTTGTTGCTTAAACATCTGATAATCGAACGCACAGTGTAATCATTTAAGCCTACATATATAGAGATATGTACAGTACATTATCAGGACTTTATTACATGTTTGCATTGTTTCTGGTATATGGATCAACTACATATATGTCTCTTAGATAATTGCTATTTATTTTCACAGTTTACTGTAGAAACTATAGGAAACTTATTTATTTGCTTCACAAGCCTGTAAGGCCATCTTAGAAAAAAAAACTGTAAGGTCTTTATACTTGTGTTTATTCCACGTTTCATAATATGTTTTGGAGATTGTTATTTGCTCTTGCACAGATATAAAATAGTGTAACACGTTTAAATACAAAAATCAGAACCTTGATAATTTATTGAATTACTGTGCACAGTACTTTAAATTTACCACATTAATTTGTTACATTTTACAGTTACACATATGCTATAATTAGGTCAAGTTAAAATATAAGAAATAATATCAGCAATCAATATTCATTTATTGTTGTAACAAATTTTTATATGGGACCACTATAAACAGATCTTATTCTAACATTAAAACAAATTTTCTTCATTGCTTGAACATTGAAGAATGAACTGTAATGTTATTTATAAAGGTGAATGAAAGATACTGAATTATTTTTTCTAATTAAAGATTTATTTAAACGTATACATTATTTACAGCATGTAGCATAAATGTATAGTACACAATAATGTACTACTCATACTACGAGAGATTAGTTTACTTAGTACTATGCACAATACCTAGTCATAAGTAATGTGAATTTCATGGCTTCAACGAGCGTGGCACATGACATTACTGTCACTGTAATTAATAGTTATGAGTCTTATAGTTTCTATATATTACTGTGACTGAATAAACTTTTTTTTTAATTCAAAATATAAGATTACATAAGTTGCCCTTTAAAAACCCTGTTTTCAATTTTCGCTCTTATTAATACTTATCAATTTTCTTTTGAATATTTCATTTTTAATCCAATACTACATTCCAACTACAATTATTAATATAGAACAATAGATATCATTAATATCTATAAGTATTAAATAGCAAATATATTGTAGTTATGCAATAATAATTAAATGTACAGATAAAATTAAATTACTATCATTTTATTTTAATTTTCAATAAGAACTGATTATTATTATTTTAATAAGAAAGCAGAATACTGACATACAAATTTTGTATAAAATCTGTCAATTTCCATATTTACCCTCAAAACATTATCAAAAATTTGTTAAGCCTACACATATAAAAATATACAAAGCACTCGGAAAAAAGTGCTTTGCCATGATCCATTAAATTTTTTAAACAACTACATTTAACAATTGATTGATCATTATACTTACTATTTGTATTTAAGTATCTTTTACGCCCACATTCTTATAAAAAAGCCTATCAAATTTTCCATGAAAAAACAGACTCTATTAGTTTTTCTTTCACATACGTTCTATATTTTTATCAGTTTTATTATTTATCTTAAAACATGGATAAAACTGAATTACATAGACTGTCATTTACAAGAGACATTATAGATGTGACCCTCGCTGGTTTTTAAAATTTGGAATGGTAAGTCTCCTTCATAAAAAACTTTTATTGATTTGTTATTTTTATTCTTTTCTTTTTACTTTGATATGTCACTTCTCCAAACCAGTTTACTGGCCCATAAGGTTCAAAAGTTGTTGGCCGCATTTAAAGTGTCCCTTGTTTAATCGAATCCATGATCTTTAAACACTTTCTGGTACGATCTTATCGTAGTGGAATGTACTACTGGAATAAAAGCTTCCTCTTTTCGGTACATGTGGTGTAGCGATTTCTTCTTGCAAGGGTTTGTAAACTAAACCGCAGTTTTTGTTGTCGATCAAACCTTGTCGAAGGATCATCGGTGGTCTAATAACGGGACCACGACCACGTCGTTTCGCCAAATAAATTGCAATATGCACTGTCAGTAGCAAAATCATTAACGTTGTAATGATTACGATAACCACGGGCCAAAGAGCATTAGTGTACCAGGGATGATACTCCATGCTTTCTGCAGGAATAAAATCTTCATATTCTTGGTCTTGAGTCGTCCAGGCTTTTTTAACCTCATCGTTTGGTCTCATTCCATGATCAATTGACAGTTTAAGGAGATCCTATTACAAAAATATTTTAGATGTTAATATTATTCTTCCAATGAAAACAAATTAGGAGGAACATTATAAGTTTGTACTTACATCATCATCATTTTCAAAGTTGTTTCTCAAAAGAGGATCTGTGTTTTCTGACGTATCAAGTTCTTCAAGGATGATCTTTACTTTCTTTTCCTTGTGTGGTAATACTCTGTCTGGCGGGCCGTCGCTAATACCATCACAGACTACTTTAGCTAAATCGGTCCATTGACTAATACCTTCAGAATCCTGATAATTATCTCCGTTACCATAGTTACTAATATATCTGCAATAACATATGACACGTAAAGAAACAGCCTAAATCATAAGTTTGATCATCGAAGATTAAACTCATGATATTAACAAGTGCATATTTTATTTTGAATATTAATACCTTGAAGTTTCGACTGGTGTTACACCATGATCAGTAAGCCATTGTACAGCCTCATTAAACTCGTCATCGCAATCAAGAGGATTACGCGCTAAATCCAAACTAACGATTCTCGGCGTTGCTTTCAATTCCTCAACAGTGATTCGACGCAGAAGATTTTCGCGAACTGACAGGAATCTGAAATAAAACGTTACAAGTAATACTACGTTTGAGACACAATTTTTACGGTTGTGTTTTATTTAATATACCGAAGATTAGTCAGCGGAATTCTTGCTTCGCTCCACACTCTTTCCAAGGCACATCTGCTCACGTCGAGTCTGGCAAGGCCAGGAGCACTCAGGAACGGTGTCACTTGTAATGTAACCAAAGGATTACCCGCAAGACTGATCTTAGTTAAACTAACAGCACCACGGAACATATTATTATCCAAAGAACTGATTGTGTTATCGGAAAGATCGAGAACTCTCAAAGATGAAAGACGACTTAGAAGACCGTCTGGTAAACCGGTCAAGCGGTTTCTGGACAAATTCAATCGCGTTATTGCCGGCATAGCATGGAAGGTTGTTTCTTCGAGGTAATAGAGGCCACAGTTTGCACAGTCAAATCGATATACGCTGCAATAAACATTTAATTATTCATGCAGTATTATATATGGTATCATATCACATTTCGTTAAAGTCTATTTTACCTGTAAGTATCGTACTCAAGACCGTAAGTCTTAAACACTGGCAGGGTTTCTAATTCAGGGTTGTCGCTCATTAATAAAACTTGCAGTCTTGAATTGCTTCTCAAATGATGTTCTGTCCAGGATGTCAACTTGTTGTTACTAATATCCAAATGAGTAAGCTGATTCAGGTTATCGAAAGCGTGTTGATGAATTCTTTTCAAACCATTCGAACTAATTATCAATTGATCCAATAGAGGCACGTCGGAAAGATCATCTTTTGTTATTATTTTGATTTTGTTATTCGATGCGTCTAATAGTCTTAATTTTTCTGCTTTCAGAGTATTCAAAACTGACAAATTATTTCCTGAAAATGAAACATTCTTGCTAAAAACAATGTCCATGAAATACAGATCTCGAAATTTAGGTTATGGTGTCGCTACGTGGCCGAATTACAAATTTCAAATTTAAAAATTTAGTTTACAGTTCTGTTCAAGGCCATACAGCGAGACCCACTGTAATGAGTATAATGTTACCGGCAATTCTAAGCGTTTGAAGTCCGCTGTTGTAAAACAAATCGGCAGGAACGTCGCTCAACAAATTATTCGAAAGATCAACTTCCACAAGAGAGTCTAACGTGCTGAAAGTCAAACTATCAATTTCTTTCAATTTGTTTCCTCTTAAATTGATGTGAGTAAGACTCGGCATTTTTGAGAATGCAGTGCGTTTCAGTTTTGTCAGACCGTTGAACGAGAAATCAAATTCAGTAACTGAGGGAGCATCGAATAGACCGTGTTTCGATGATTTAGCATCTTGTGAATGTTTCAGTGGGTTTCCAGAGATAGCCAGCAGAGACAACTGCTTGTTACTTTGGAAGGTATTCGGATGAATTTCTTGAAGGTCATTGCGTGTTAAATTAACGAAGAACAAATACGGAATGTCGTCGAAAGCAGTTTGATTCAGCTCGACGATTCTTGTGTCAGTGATCGTAATGAATTCCAATTGTTGAAGACCTCGTGATTGAAATGCGTGAGGGCCGAGAGTAATTTGTCCGGCATTTTCTATACGTAAACGTGCGATACCAGTGCCAAAGGATTGCTCATTCACAAGTTTGGTGCATCTGAACAGAAGAAGAATATATAACTGGTATTTAATCTGTACGGTTCGTGCAAAGTTCATAATAACTGTTAGGTTGACGCACATCAAACCTCTTTGCTAAAATTAATATTAACCAAAGTATGTTTCAAATATATATGATACAAAGTTTGACATGATTTCATAACAGAAAAATATCATATAACAATACTCAAGTTACGTCAATTTAAAGCTTCAAGTTTAATGAAGATGAATGTATAAACCTTTCAATAATGTTTCTAATACACAAAACTGGTTATCACTTTAAGTGAACTGATTTAATAATCAAACTACTTTACCGCATTAGCAAGATAAGATAAAAGTCAAGGTCATTAAACTTTGCGAGGTGTATCCTATCTGTAACTGCCTCAAATTTTATAAACAAATTACCGCCATAATAATATACAATTTCTAAATGAACCATCTGATACGCAACAACCTAATAGTTTTAGTGATATCACCAAGTTATAGATATCAACGGTTACGTTTATCTTTCGTTACCATAAAGGAAACAATTAAATTATATAATGTTATCATGAAAAGCCAAGAACGCGTACGTTGCAGTCGTTGCAGCTGCATATTCTCCAGCGCATCTGCAGTAATCAGGACACTGTGTCATCACTTGTTCATCGTCCTCAGGTTCCTCGTCGTTCTCGTCGTCGTCTTCATCCTCGTCGTCGTAATCGTCATCGCTCTCGTCTTCTTCGTTTTCGCTTAAATCACTCACGTAAGGGGCATCGTCGGCTGTGAGCAACTTCTTTATAGTGCTATCCTCCGTCGTGCTGACGAAGTCGAGTTTCCCGGTTGAAAGTTTTGCTGTCACCGGTTCTGATGTCTTAATTCTTTTAGCTTCCGCTTTAAGCGTTTGCGCTACTTCAGCCTGCATCTATAAATAATTTTTTAATGTATAATTTAATTGTTTATTAAATTTCATCAAGCTAATGTCATGTTGTCGAGGTATTATATAAAATTTAACATTAGGATTGAATTTTGCTTTTTTGACTTAAAATTTCATTATGGCTTTTATGACAATTGCAAACATTTTATGCATTACAGTATAATTTACAAATTTTTATGGATGTACTAACAAAGCAAGCGGACATATAGCTATGCGAAAGGAGAATAGTAGAAATTGGATAATTTTCATCTCTGTTGGCTGTAACTTTTTATAGAATACGTTTCTATGGATTCTTGAAGAATTCCTGTTGAAATATTTAAGAACTGAAATGCATGAATAGATGAGAAGTAACAAAAACATTTTTCTCTCATTGAAATCATCTATTTTGACAGTAACTGTTATCATTCGAAACAGTTGTTAAAAATCTAGTCCTGATTATTTAAGTTTCAAGATGCGTAGTGCGCATGCGCGTGGTCATACAGCGCCTGCGTACTGCACATGCGCAGTATCTCTACTTAAGTTTTAGTTCTGTCTTATGCGAACACAAAATAATCCTTGTGTCAACTTAAACTTGTTAAGCAGTTTAGAATTCAGAGAATCATTTCTCTCAAGTACATAAATACTTAATTCTCGAATTTCTTAAAACAGAAACGTATTTAATAAGAAGTTTTCCTTGACAACAGAGACACATTGATCAATTTCTTCCAAGTCCTTCAAACAACAAGCATCACCTTAGCATTAGAAGCTTCTTCGTCCAAAGTATGAATTTCTTGCAAGAGCATGTCCTTAGGGTTTAAAAGAGGTTTCAAAAGCAGAAAATCATCGTCCAATTTCGATTTTGATGTTACCCTTTCATCGACAGGCGAGGATGTTTTATTTGAATGTAAATTTGCTACAATTACAGTGGTATATCCCGTCGTCGATGTAGTTTTTGATGTCGTCGGCTCTTCTGTGGTTACGTCCACATGACCGTTTTTGATAATAAATGATGCTTGTGTTGCATTAGGAGACCCATTATTGTCCGTGGACAGCACTTCACACAAGAAGGTTGTTAGTAGCAGCGCTACTATAACCTTCATCTTTCCTGCAATCAAGAAAATTCGGTTTTAATTTATTATATAGTACTAAATAAAGTAAAAGCTGCTGTTACTATAATTTTAAGTTAGCAACAGTATTTGCATTGTAATAAAAATTAGGTATTTTTTATTTGCTTTATAGTTCATATATTTATGAATATTCTTAATACATAATAATTTTTATTATTTTAATTAATAATTAAATAATAGATAAATGGTTAAATAATAATTCTTTTTAATTCCAAAAAATATTTGTATACATTTGATGATCAAATAAAATGTATTTTAGCTAAGTAACAAATTATAATATTCTACAATGTGCAAAATATTACAAAATATTGTACAAAATACATGTAAGACTAAATATTGATTAATGCTCAAATCTTAAATTGCTTAGAACAATTTTCTAACTCAATAAACCTAACAAGAATAAAAAGGATTGTATAGTTTTTCCTGTATACATAGCTAAGTGACCGCGATCACGACCGGTTTAAGAAGCGAAAGTGCAGCCATCTATACTACAAACAAAAACGCCTTCGAGTAAATCGATCCAAGAAGCCTCTATTTTCTCGATCTTTCCGGAGCTTATACTTCGATCCTCGATTGCCTACTGTTGCTCACAAACTTCAAAAATAAAAGAAGAACATAGTCCAGAATTTTTGAACGTTTACAGAAACCTTGTTTGTGGCATTGAAATCACTGCTTTTCAAAACATGCGAGGGCGTATGTGTAGTCATAGCAAGTTCCAAAATTGGGCATCGTATCTTTTTGTACGTGTCAGCATGTCAACGTGTCTTATTTACTGTTATTTGATTTTAGTTAGGTAATTCTAAATTTCTAAGGACATTTTAAATTTAAATTATGAAGTTACTAATAAATATTAAATTTAATATTTTTCAATTCGTTAAAATTAAATTTCCTGTATTACACCACAATTTGTAAATTTTTCCAAATACAATTTTTGCAAAGTTAATTATCGTAGCACTTATGGTACACGATAAAATTGAATGATTCAGAAAAGTACTACTTCAACAACACAGATTAAGTACAGACATTGCACGATAATGTGATACGTGTCTTTTGACGTAAATAGAATGTCGTGTATCATTGTTCACTGTTAATTAATACTTAATTCAGATCATTTTATTATTGATAACAATTACGAGCGATTTGGAATACGTGAGATTTTTATTTTCCAAAATCACATTCTGTCCGATAAGCTGGCTGTGCGGAAGCGATGGTGCTCGTCTGCCAACTTATCAGACGTAGCATGATTCTAAGGTGAATATTCGATACAATATAGATAAACTTTGGATTCGAAGAAAATACCAGGATCATAATATTATTATAATTGCTAAACATAAACTGTAAGTTTAAAAACTACCAAACAAAAAATGGTTAAAAATTATTAAGTCTGAAATGATTTAATTTAACCTGAAAATAAATGTTCCTAAATATTTAACTCAAAAATAAATCTTCCTATATATTTGACTCGGAAATAAATCTTCTTATATATTTGACTTCAAAATAAATCCTCTTAAATGTTTAACTTAAAAATAAACCTCTCTGAACACTTAACTTAAAAATAAACCTCTTTGAACACTTAACTTAAAAATAAACCTCTTTGAGCACTTAACTTGAATATAAAAAATGATAAACTGACTAAACTCCCCAATTAACAAATCTTTAATTTAAATCTATAATTTCAGCTGTTCCCATATTAAAAAATTCTTCTTCACCATAAACCTTCCATTATCCTAAAATACAAATTACATTAATCGCTCCAAAAACCTAAACAAAACCTAAACAAAAATAATTTGCCTACCTTTAGAAAGAATTCTAACAAAGAGGAAAGTTCAAAAGAAAATTCCCAGGTCAAGACGTCGAAAGGAAAGTCGGCAACAAGGAAAATCTATTTTTCCCTGTATCAAGAGGCTAGATGGTTAAACAGCGAATAGCTGGGCCCATCGCAGATAGAATGCAGTTTAAGAGAACCGGACACTGAAGCGACCAGGTATGCGTGTGAATACCGCACGAAGAGGTGGAAGGTGGGTTTAAGTCGTAGGGTGCACGAGTGCCAGTTGGGCCTCTTTGTTCGACTCTCGAAAAATCTGGCCGGTTAAAGCCAGGTAGAGTTACCTGTCCCCGACCATAACGCAGGTGGTCCCTTCTGCTTTTCCATTCCAATTTTGTTGGCATAGACCCGTAAAGAAAGGGGCCACCGGCTGGTCAGTTTCAGGAAGAATCTGTAAATCTTGGGATTGGCATTTTTGAACATGCTGTTAGCCCACCTACTGTGTCTCTTCAAAACTTACTACTTTGACGGTAACAAGTTTTGACGAATTGATACATGGTGCTTTGACAAATTCAGGTACTTTAATTTTTTTAATTTTAACAATTAGAATTTTTAGGACTGCACAAAACTTAATGTGTCTGTTCAAATCTTGTACTGCTGTACTTTGACGATAACAAAGTTTGACGAATTGACACGTAGTGCTTTGACAAGTTCAGTTATTTCAATTTTTATAATTTCAACAATTAGGATTTTGAAGACTTTAAGTACAAAACTTACAGTGTCTGTTCAAATCTTACACTACTGTACTTTGACGATAACAAATTTCGACGAATTGACACGTAGTGCTTTGACAAATTCAGTTACTTCAATTTTTATAATTTCTACAATTAGGATTTTGAAGACTTTAAGTACAAAACTTACAGTGTCTGTTCAAATCTTACACTACTGTACTTTGACGATAACAAATTTCAACGAATTGACACATAGTGCTTTGATAAATTCAGTTACTTCAATTTTTATAAATTCAACAATTAGAATTTTTAAGACTTTAAGTACAAAATCTACAGTATCTGTTCAAATCTTACACTACTGTACTTTGACGATAACAAATTTCAACGAATTGACACATAGTGCTTTGATAAATTCAGTTACTTCAATTTTTATAAATTCAACAATTAGGATTTTGAAGACTTTAAGTACAAAACCTACAGTGTCTGTTCAACTATTGTCAGTTCTTACACCGCTTGACGATACTAAGTTCTAACGAAATGACACACGGTTGAAAATTATATCTACTTCAATTTTTACAATTTCAACAATTACTTAGAATTTTTAAAACTGTACAAAATTGGCTCACTGTGAAGATGTAATAAAAATTATTTTCTTGTGTTTGATTGATTGTTCAGATTCATGAGTGTCGACTGATGTGGTTTCTACAACTTTGATGATATAATAAAAATTATAGTTTGTCGAATATTATGATTTGGCTAAACTGATCATGCAATGATTACTTGCTAATTTTTATTCTTAAAAAAATATCTACATCAGAATTTTGATCTCAGTCTAAGTAAACCCAAACTTTCCTCATTTTCTCCAAAGACAAAAATCATTGTAACCGTTTATCAAGAGAACGATATTTTCTTTATCAGGAAAGTGATACCTTGGACAAATAAAATTGCTATATTTTATCAATTGTTTGGTTACACGTGGCTGGAAAGAAAGAAGAAATCTGTGGAGATTTGAAGCGGAAGACAAAGATCATTGTGATCAATTATTTCTTGCCAAGCCAAGACAACATTCCATACCGTAGAAAAAAAAAACATTCATTCCGTCAACGTGCGTTGGATGGTTAAATAAAGCGACCGTCTTCGATACAAGGACTGTAGCATTTTCCAAGTTGGAATCATATATCGATTGAATCCCAGTAAGACCGTTAGGTGATTTATTGTGAAATCAACCGGCTCGAATGACACTCTCTATGTACTGAGAAATATTACTGGCCAACATAACACTATCATAACGCTATGGCCGCAATCTGGTGTATCGATAACAGTAAAAGCGATCATTTCGTAAGACAGTAGTTTATTGCTTCGAATTACGTAGTGTACAATAAAATATCATTACTGACTGTGATTAATAATTTATCGATTACTTGTCTGATGCGGTGAACGTTTTCTATGTATGTGTGCAAAATTTATTGTGCAGATAAATGTCAGTAAGCATGGCTTGCACATATTTAAAACTTGCATAAATATTAATGGAGTGTATGCAGAACAATTATTTATTTTAATACCAAAATGGTGTTTGTATGATTTCATGAAAAATGTTTTCAATAAAAATTGTGTTTTTCTGTAAAAACTATTATTATGAAATTATGATAATTAGCCTCTCTTTTAGTAAACAATCTTAAACCTTGAATAACAAGGTATTTAATAAAAGTCTTTATATTGTATAAAAAAATATCCACCAGTATAAGTGATAAAAATACATGTAAATACTTGTACATATAAATTTACAAAAAAATTAATATTTGCAAAAAAATATTTTCAAATAAATTGAAAATAAATTATTGCAAAATTGTAACAACTATACAGATTAATATAAAATTTACAAACTCAAAACGTACACATTGTATACAAATAAACATCAATTATCTAATCTGAGAATAAATCAATTTCTGGAACAATGATTTTCTTCTTCCAAGAATAAATAATTTACAAAGTACTATATTTACAGTGTATTGATTAATATAAAAGAACGAAACAGTTGGTTACATACTTCTGTGCAAAAAGAAATTTTAATTATGCATATTGCAATAATCAAAAAGGAAAAATCTGAATAATGTGTAAACTTATAAAGTGATATCTTTGATATGGCAGCAAAATTTTTGCACGTGCCTCATGTGGCACGTTCCACTAAAATGAAAATGTATTGCTTTCTTTATTAATTTTTTATTGTTCAGTTTGTTTTTCATGGATGTATTTATACGTCTCTTTTTCTTTGTTTTCCTCTTTCATGATTTTAATTTATTGAGACTGTACTGTTTATCATATAGATACATATCACAGAAACATATGTATGTTACACACTATAAATATTGTAATTAAAATAAATCTATTTACAAAAAAAAGTATAAAAATCAAAGATAAAATTAATATATAAAAACGAAAAAAAATATATTAAACTTGAGAGGATTTGAACTCGCATTGCAGT